GTGGGAGGGCGACATGGACGGCTGGACGAGGCGGTGCCTGCGGGGGATCCACACCGTGCTCGTGGACGACGGGCTGGACGGGGACGACGCGCTGCCGTACGACTTCTTTGACGGGGTGACGCCGGGCTCGAGCAAGAGGATCGTCAGGATCGAGTTTGTGGTCCCCGGCTTCATCGAGGAGGCCTGTGCTAAGTTTGAAAGTGACGGTGCCGCTGCGTGGGGGCGGTTCGTCCAGCGGCTGAGGGACTACATCGACGACGCCCTGCGGGACCGGGAGGTCGTGGGGTTCAAGTCGGTCATCTGCTACCGCACGGGGCTCGCCATCCCACGGGACGCTGACGAGGAGACGGCCCTGCGGGTGTTTGAGGGGATTCACAGGGAGAGGACGGCGCCAGGTGCGGCGGCGTTCAAGAGGATAGACCACCCGGGCCTCAACGAGTTCATCGTCCACACGCTGGCCGGCGCGATCCAGGCGTGGCAGGGCGGGTTCCGGAAGCCCATACAGTTCCACACGGGGCTGGGTGATAACGACATCACGCTTACGAAGTCGTCCCCGGCGCACATGCAGCGGTTCATCGAGGCGTACCCGGACGTGCCGTTCGTCCTGCTGCACTCCGGGTACCCGTTCACGCGGGAGCTTGGGTACCTGGCGGCCATGTACAAGAACGCCTACGCGGACATCGGGGAGGTCTTCCCCTTCCTGAGCCGGGACGGCCAGATGGGAGTCGTCCGCCAGATCCTCGAGCTCTGCCCGGGCGAGAAGATCCTGTGGAGCACGGACGGGCACTGGTTCCCCGAGACGTACTTCCTCGCCGTCGAGCAGGTCCGCGAGGTGCTCGACGCGGTGCTCCAGGACTACGTGCACAAGGGGGACCTGTCGCTGGGGCAGGCGATCCGCCTCACTGAGGATGTGTTCTACAACAACTCTAACAAGCTGTACTCTCTGGGCCTTGAGGAGGTGCGGAGGGAGATGGGTGATTCTGCCGAGGCAGGGTTGGACGAGGGCGGTAGTGAGCGGTCGCTCGCCCTGCTCTCCCGCCATCTGGAGGGGGACGAGCCGCCCAGGTTCCTGGGGATCTACTGGAACGACATGACGGCCACGGCCAGGATGCGAGCCGTCCCCATCAGGCGGGTGCTGTCGATGCTTTCCGGCGGGGAGGAGCTATCGTTCGGTGTTACGAAAGCCGGTCTGGGTCTAACACAGCTTGATACGCCCGCCGAGGGGGTGTCGCCCTCTGGGGAATACAGGCTGCATCCGGATCTGGGAACACTACGTGCTGGACCGAAGAAGGGATATCTCTCTGCTCGGGGTGTATTCAAAGAGAGCGATGGCTCCGCGGTGCCTCTCTGCCCTCGCACAGCACTTATAAGAGCCCTGGACACCGCCAAGGCCCACGGTTTAAACTTCACACTCGGTTTCGAGATCGAGCTCGTCCTCATGAAGGTGAGCGAAAAGGGGGATACTCTCGAACCACTCGACAAGCACGGGCACGCGTGGAGCGTCGCCCGGGCGATGGACCACGAGGCTGCGTCGAGGGTGATCGAGCCGGCCGTCGCGGCGCTCGACGAGGCGGGCATCTACATCGACATGGTCCACCCGGAGAGCGCGCCGGGCCAGTACGAGGTCGTGCTGCCCAAGGCGCCGGCGCTGCAGGCCGTGGACACCCTGCTGTTCGCGAGGGACGTCCTCTCCTCGCACGCGACGGCGGCGGGGTACAGGATGACGCTGCACCCCAAGCCGTTCGCCGCGGCGTGCGGGACGGCGGCGCACGTGCACATCTCGCTGCAGAGGGCGGACGAGGAGGAGGGAAAGGAGAAGGGTGAAGAGGACGTGCCGGCGGAGGTCTACGAGCCGTTCTACGCCGGGGTGCTGGCTCACCTGCGGGCCATCGCCGCGTTCACGTACAGTAGCGCGGCGAGCTACGAGCGCGTGGTGGACGGCGTGTGGGCGGGCGGGACGTACATATCCTGGGGCGGGCAGAACCGCGAGACGCCGCTGCGCAAGATCGGGGGCAGCCACTGGGAGGTCAAGTGCATGGACGGCATCGCGAACCCGTACCTCGCGCTGGCGGCCGTCGTCTCAGCCGGGGTGATGGGTGTCAGGGAGGGGAGGGAGCTGGCGTGGAGGGACTGCGGCACGAGGGCGCCGGCGGCGCTGACGCAGGGCGAGCGGGATGCGCTGGGCATCGTGAGCAGGTTCCCGGGCAGCCTGGAGGACGCGCTGGACGAGCTCAGGTCGGATGGGGAGCTGGTGGGCGAGCTCGGGGCGGAGCTGGTGGAGAGGTATGTCGCCGTCAAAGAGGCCGAGCTGAAGCTGTTGACGGATATGGATGGGGAGACGAGGAAGAGATGGATCATGGAGAGGTACTGATTCGTGTTGAGCTGCGTGGGGGGTTTGTTAGTACGTAGACCATAGACAGCTGAGTTATGGATCAAGGCTGAATCATGTCGTGGGAGAATCATCTTGGAAGGTCTTTTTGCATCCTGAGGTGGTGCGAACGCGGATTGTGAGACCTTTGCCGCGATGAACCATGAACTCTCGGAGAATAATATCAATATTGCATCTTTATTGAATAGACTATACTGAACAGAGCACGATGCCCATCGGCTACGGATTCAGCATGTAGTACGTACTAGAAAAACCTGCCAGAGGATGGGCCATGCCATGCACAGATTGACAGCGCTCGATATCGATGCTGAGTGAGCCCCATGCCGACCAACAGCGATCGACGGCTAGCTGGCTGTCACTCGTATAATTAAGCGTAGCATGGGAGGGATCGATAGTCTTATGCAGATGGGGCCATCTAGCTGGGCAAAGGTTCCCCCTTTCTGACGTCTCGAAAAGAACAGAGCAGAGGCACCAAGCCCTTTTCGATGTAAGCGAGAGAGGGGAGAAGAGAGAAGAAAAAAGCTATGATCCGAGGAACGCCACTAAGCGCTTCCGGGGCGAGCTGACGTGCAAAATTTGAGTTTCGACTGATTGATCGGGCGACGACGCTACGGCATGGCTTGGGAATGCTGGCCATGGTGATGAGTGGTGACAGAGGGCGGGAGTGGGTAGCTGGGAGTGGAGAGCGGAGGGGAGGGGAGGAGAGGAGAGGAGCTGAAAGGCGCCGCAAAGAGGAAAGTAATGGTGAAATGGGAGGGAATAGCACGGGCTGGCCGAGATGCAGCGTGAAGGTTGGCAAGAGAGCGAGATGGACGACCCCAATCGGGACGACGGCGCTGTGATACATCACATGGGACGGCACTTTGCTGAGCTGAGGCGGGCACGAAATCGGATGAGGCAGCGTGGGATCAAGATCAGCGACGACAGTGCCGGCAGGCTCGCTTCGGAGCATGCAGACTCTTCCGTATTCCCTCTTTGAACAGATGCGGACGCGCGTGGAGACAGGCGCCAGATGGAAGACGTCTCGGCCAGGGGCGAAATGCAGCACACAGATCGCGAGGTGCTAGAGCCATCGATGCGGCTGTTTCACGACGAGAATTTATTAGACTCTGGCGCCGAGCGCACTGATAGGCCCGGTGCCTTTTCAAGGCTGCGCCGAGCCTGCGGGTGTCTCCGCCTTGCCTTCCAGGGCCTCCGGTAGGGCCTTTCGCTTGGGGCCTGGCTGGCGCGTTCCGACTGTCGGCTGGGGCAAGCCACGTACAGTGCTTACTTGGCCACTGCTCTCGTTGATGAGGGTGGTGTTGCGCGGGCTGCTGACTGCCTGTGGGTAGCATTCGCTGGGCTGGGTGCTGCAACCACCAGCCCCGGTACCTGCTTACTGTCCTGTTTGCTGCAAATTAATGTGCTCGCTGGCATGCGCCAAGCCGCTGTGCGTAGCAGCTGAGGTACTTGGCTAGGCGGCCTGTCAGTGCTCCACAGCCAATTCCAACCCACCGTTGCGTGCGTTGCACAGCAAGGTGTACCTACTAAGCGTTTTTGGCGGCAGTTAGCTTTTGCCTAAGGTTGGATTCTTGGCTTCAGAGATCTGCGACCATGTTCGTGTGTGGTACAGAGATTGCCCATCACTCGCACTCCTCCAGACCGGGCTGGATGTCTCGGCCGACCCCGACCACCATCATTCACCCAATGTAATTGCAGGATATGCCTGTCTGAGCTGCCTCGGACGCTCTTTTCGACACAGCACATGCATCCAGGCACCCGCGGTTTAATAAGACCTGCCAGACGGATCGATCGGTCATCGAATAGCCCGTGGTCGAGAACGGTCTGGGCATTGGGGACAACCACAGCGCCCTCCACTCCCCCTTCACCCTTTGAGCAAGGCGCCACTTTTCCCAGCGGTGCCCCCAGCACTGGCATCAGCGCATGGGACGTGGGAGCCACTAGAGCCCGCCCTAGGATTCCCTCTCCATTTTTCAATGCAAAGGGCGACCGACCCAATGTGCTGGGCTTGTCTGTCTGCCGTTGCCATCCACAGGAGCATTTGAGATTGCTGCCAGATCCATCACACCCACGGCCTCGTCCTTTGAGTTTGCGCCCCGCCCTTTGCCATCCTCCAGCTCGGCCATTTTCCCCGGCCCCTTGCCTCTGCTCTGGCCTCGCTTCCAACCTGCGAGGTCCCTCGAATAGGCACGCTGTACTCCGTACCACCACCGACTTCTAGGTCAGGGTCCCACCCCCCACGATTTGCGCGCCTGCGACCAATTACCTCCTGCGAGCCGACTCCGTAAATCTTTCGATCAGCATCAAATACCCACCGAACGCCCCGACCTAAGCACCACCGAGCCTGCCTGGCACCAGCGAACAAAGGACGATCATTGGGGAATCTCAGACGACAGGAGCCGACCATTTGCAACGTGGGAGACGCGGGAACGATGCATAGGCAGGGCCAGACGCCAAACAACTTCCGACGATGAGGATCGCAATCCGCGAGCAGCTGGCCTTGCTTGTCTTGTTCACTGTTCTGGTGGCCCTCACTGTCGTCTCCGTCCCGACCTGGCTCTATGTCAACGACCACATCGCCAAAAACCTGCGGACCGGCCTCTCGCTCACGGCCTCCCTCAAGGCCTCCCGAATCACGTCCGAGCTAGAACTCATCCAGAACAGCTGCTTGACGATATCCTCCAGGATCCTTCTCCAGGATGCGCTCCAAGATTTCTACGACAAGGGAGACAAGAACTGGGCCAACGCCAAGGAGGACATTGACAGCGCCCTGAGCGTTGGCATGTCGACGGGCCTGCTGCAGGCCAGAATTTACTCGAGAAACACGACAGGGCCCGAGGATGGGGGGCTCTTCAACGTCACCGCGAGCAATGTGCCCGAGGTCATCCTCCCCTACAAGGGCCCGGATGGCGAGCAGGTCACCTTGAACGATACGGATCTTGGCTATCCCCCTATGCTCTACCCGAACATCACATACGTCAATCTCAATTATGGGAACCCCATCCGCCCCAACACATCGGCCTACTCGGCCCAGGCATTCCCTGACATACCGATATCTAGGGACGGCGGTCTTCTGCTTGGTCCTTTGATCTTAAATGAAACGTCTGCTCTGATATCCATTTCAGTCGCCATCAGAGACAATACAGATCACTTCATTCTTGGCTACATGACAATCGTCGCTGTGGCCTCCTCCATCCTCCAAGTGCGAGATTCGCGTGAGGGTTTGGATGACAGTGGCATGGTTCTCATCGTCGGCCCTACGACCGAATGGAACCGGTTTCCAGCATCAACCCCAATGAGCAACGCTACATACACGCCCAACAAGGAAGCTTTTGGCAGTGTACCCGTTCGCTTCGTTCTACCTCCCGCGGCTCAAGGTGACCAAGCGGATCGCCATTCCAACCATAATTTCACAAAGGGTACAAGCGACACGCCTTTCCCCGTCAAACTATATCCAGCCGTGCTCGATGCCCTGACCGACCATGTACCAACCATAAATAACGCCAGCTCCATGCTTGACACCCACAATGAGCAAGGCGTCGCCGTTGCTGTGGGCTATGCAAGGACCCAGACGCCACTTGCGAACTGGACTGTCATTGTCGAAAAGTCAAAGGCGGAGACATACCAGCCAATCAACACGCTCCGAAACATCCTTCTGGGGACCGTGTTCGGCACTGCAGGTTTCCTGACACTTCTCATCATTCCCTGCGCTCACTTTGGCGTCCTACCCATCAGAAGGCTCAAGGCAGCTACCGAGAAGTCGATAAGCCCCCCTGGATATGAGGAGTCGTTCATCGAGTCGGACTACGAAGAAGATTCGCCAGGGTCTGGCAGGATGGGGTCTCAGAGATCTAAAAAGGGCATGTTGAAAACGTTTACACGCTTCCTAAAGGGCTTGCCTAACAGAACAGGCTCCGAGAGGGATGTTGCTCGGCGAATGTTCAAGATTCCCGGGAAAGTAGACGAGGGGAGGCATTTCATCACCGATGAACTTACAGAATTGACGAGCACGTTCAATGACATGAGCGATGAGTTGGTTAAACAGTACATGTCCTTGGAGGAGAAGGTTGCCGTGCGCACCAAGCAACTCAACGAGAGCAAGAAGGCAGCCGAAGCTGCCAACGAAAGCAAGACCCTGTTTATTGCTAACATTTCCCACGAACTGAAGACACCCCTTAATGGAATTATGGGCATGTGCGCAGTCTGCATGGAAGAGACCGACATCAATAGAATCAAGCAATCTTTGAAGACTCTGTACGAATCAGGCGACCTGCTTCTGCACCTATTAGAGGACCTTCTCAGCTTTTCGAAGAACCAAATCGGCCAGCAACTCACCGTCGAAGTCGGCCAGTTCCAATTAATCGATATCCGGGCACAGATTTTATCTATTTTCGACAAACAGGTTCGCGAGGGGCAGATTGATTTCTCCGTCAACTTTCTCAACGCTCGAGAGCATGGAGATTCCTCCACCGGCTCGGCCCATCAAGATTCCGAGCATAAGTCGCTACCAGCCGGCCTTCTCCTAGAAGATGTTTCTTTGTGGGGAGATCAGCACCGTATACTTCAAGTGATCATCAATCTCGTCAACAACAGCTTGAAATTCACTCCTGTCAAGGGTAAGGTCGAGGTCCGCATACGATGCTTGGGCGAGGATCAGCAAGCCAACGATGACGAGAGCCGGGCATCATCCATTTCGAAATCAGTGTCCCGGAACTCGCGATCAGGCCGGATGCGCTATCGAGGTGGATCCGCCTCGGCTCAGTCAACGAGCTCTATGAACGGTAGCGCCCAGCAATACATGCAAGGAGGGACAGCACTATCGATCAACCCCATGGACCCTAAGATGGGCTATGCTCATGTATCTGAGCGCTCGCCAACGCCTCCGCCTCAGGGTACCAAGGCCTATACTTTTGAGTTTGTCGTCCAGGATACTGGCCCAGGTATTCCTCCGAGCATGCAGGAGAAAGTGTTTGAGCCGTTCGTCCAGGGAGATCTTGGGCTGAGCAGAAAATTTGGCGGAACTGGACTTGGTTTGAGTATCTGTCATCAACTCGCTGGTTTGATGGGTGGTTCGATTCACTTGGACAGTACAGAGGGTGTCGGCTCCACATTCACTATGCTTATTCCTTTGAAATGCGCTCGCAGCACGTAAGTCTTTCAAATTGCCTACACGCCTTCTCAACTTGTGTTCAGAGCTAACTCCAGTATTCAGGAGACCCACCTCTATGAGGTCCCCACGACACAGTACGGACGATCCAGAATCTCAGCGAAACTCGCACCATATCATGCCGACCGAGGGAAAGCCACCCAATGCCAGTGCCCTCAACCCGCAGCCGAGATTAGTCGGCCTAAGCCAGCCATACTTCTCGGTTGAGCTCCCCCCCGGGGCCCAAGGTGGTGGTGTGATCCAAAGTCTTTCACGGAAAGGGGGCGGAAGCAAACTGCGTGTTCTTGTTGCCGACGACAATTCGACGAATATCGAGGTTGTTAGCCGCATGCTTAAACTCGAGGATGTCTCTGACGTGACTGTCGCCAAGGATGGCCAGGAAGCCTACGACTTAGTCAAGGGGACGATGGAACGAAACGAGCCGTTTGATGTCATCTTCATGGATGTGCAGATGCCCAACGTCGATGGGCTGCAGAGCACACGGTTGATTCGCGGAATCGGCTACAAGTCTCCGATCGTGGCCTTGACGGCCTTTTCGGAGGAGAGCAACGTCAAAGAGTGCATCAACTCGGGAATGGACGAGTTCCTTTCCAAACCAATCCGTCGACCCGCGCTGAAGCAAGTACTCAAGCGGTTCGCAACGATACCCGAAGAGACCGAGGGGTCAACTAGAAACGACGAAGTGTTGAACGAGAAGAATCATCATTCGGCCCTGAATGGGGAAATCACGGAGTTACCGACACCACCAGCAACAACCGACGATAACGAAACGGAGCTTTTCAGCGGAGCCGCAGTCAGCAAGGCGGAATAAAAAGTTTAATACCATGTCCTTTTCCCTTTATATTAGTCTATCATCAGCGCAATGAGGCCGATTTCCAGTGCCGTTTGTGTTGGGTTTCTTGTTATTGTATACATGGAGGGGGGGAACTAGCTGGCGTGCTAATATCTACTTTTCTTTTTCCGGCGTTGGTTTGAAATGGGTTCCTGTCTTTCCACGTTCCAAAAAATGAACGTGCCGATATCTCATTCTTTTTTTTTGCTTTTTGCTTTTCAGGCTTAGGAGTTTTTTTTTTTTTTGCGCGTGGATCTCATGCATGGATTATACACACGACGATAACCATCTCGGAGGGGAATGACGCTCCTATACCGTCTTGTCACCTTTTCATCATCACACTTTTTAATTTTCCTATTTGCATAGGCAGAAGAAGGGGGGGGGGAAAGGGACGGGGTTGTCGATATATATGTTTTAAAACCCTTTCCCCCTCTATATCATATATATACACATTACACGCACATGATATATATTACATCTTGAAGGACTTGGCTTCCTCCTCTAACTCGTGTCTTTTCTTATGTGTTGACGGGATAATGTTAAGACGTGCATCATTTTTTTTGGGTTGAGAAATGCCACATGAAACGGACACGATCGTGGGTCGGGAAAAACCCAAGGTATGATTTAAGGTAATGTACCTTGAATTACAAGACTTGAACTAAGCATGGAGCTGCAAGTAGCAACTAAAGCTTGGCAATTAGTTACATGATAGAGCCTCAAGGTGGAATCAGAAACCGACAGCAAATGCACTGGGAACGAATGGCAGGTTGAACAAGTTTCGAATTTTCTCGACGAAGCAAAAAAAGTCATATTCGTATCGTTTTCATCAAGAGCATTTTAATCAACAATAACTGCGAGTGCCTCCGGGCTCGGTTTGCGAGCCCCGGTTCTCCCTATCCGCGTACCCCCTTGTTGAAGTCCGGGCCTAGGAGCCATATGTTTCATAAACCACCAATACCATTTCATCAGCAACCACGGTCCAGGTTTCTCGTGGTACCCCGTAGGGAAACCCTCAATGAAATACCGTGAAATCATAAAAAAGCGCACCTGTTCCAAAATACGCAAAACAAAACAACAATAAATCGATGAACTCTAGCGACGCTGTTTCCAGTCACTCTCACCGACCAGAAACCTGGTAACCTAGCGCCGCGCTCTTAAAATCACAAGGAAAATGCAGATCCATGGAAAAAAAGGGGGGACTAAAGTAATTAGAGAAGCAAACAAAAGTAGAAAGGAAGCAAGGAAACGAAGTGCAGAGAGCCCGAGCAGCAATGATTAGCTACGGCATTTGCCTGGTGGAGAACCAGAGCCAAGAAAAGCAACGTGGAAGATAAACCCGGCTTATTTGGATAGCTTCCACGGGATGCGTGACACAGGGGCCAAAGAGATAGAGCATCGAAGCTGCAGTCAGCGCGTTCTCGAGATGCGGTTGAATGGCTCTTCCGGTATGCCAAAATGCTTAGATCTCCATGTGACCAGCAAAGTCCTCGCTCATAAGCCGGTGTCGGGTGTTGCCGTCATAGTTATCATACCCGTCGTCATCGTCGTAGTCAAAGTCTTCCATCGTGTCATCATCGGAAAACATAACTAGATCGCCGTCCTCCCGACGGTTCCAGACAAGACCATCGTCTTGTGCGACTTCGTCGTCTTCGTATGACGGTACCAGTGTTGCGTCTCTATTGCCAACCCAATAGTCCGCTCTCTTGGATCCAGGCGTTTCGAAACTCACACCTCGGTTGAGCAATGACGATTTCGTGGGTTGGAGGTTTGGACTTTGCGACGAGGTGACAGGAACAACGCGAACATAGAGGTACGCTACCCGCTTCAGGGCGCGGCTAAAAAAGAAGTAGTGCGAGGCCCAGATTGCACTCTCGTCCTCCTCGAAAGGATCAACTTCAGGGTGATAGCTGAAGATGGTGCACTCATTCAAGCGCATCTCCTTGTCTATCAGTGCCCAGCACTGAGGACCCCACCCCGAACCTACGTCGCTGCCCACTGACGAATCGAATGACTGCGGTTCAAAACCCGGGCGAACGTTTTGAAGAATCGAATCTAGATTTACCATGACTTGTCGCAGGTTTCGCTCCCGCTTAAAGTCTCCAGGCCGCAGTACATTGGAGAAATCGTAGTGTGGATGACTGGCATTAAGAGTGGCGATGAGGTAGGCAAACGTCCGCCGGCTCGAAAGCTCTGAAAGGGGACCGAAGGCGCTTGAATGCGAGAATAGTTGCATGCTAGGTGAGGTAGCTAGCATCTGTTCTCGCTCCGGGGGGGACAGGCTAGCTCCCAGCTTCAATAAGGCGGCATGTTGGGAGCTGAGGTCCTTGTCAATATTCTTGTAGAGTTTCTTGTCCGAGCCCGTCGACTTGGTGGTGTAGAGGTCGCAGCCGCCAGTAACGTTACAATCCGGTGTGTTGAAGTTGAGCGCGCTCGTGACCGCCTCGAAATCTTGGACAGGTAAATACTATATACAGATAGCCCCCAGGTTAGCCTGACAAAAGGAAGCGGGATACAGAAGCGATAAAATCAAGCGTGGGCCGGTGATGACGAACCTTCATCGTGCTTGGTGGAATACGACAGATGGATGCGAAATAGCGGGATGTACGATTAAGGCGTTGCAATGGAGTCAATAATAAATATGAAAATCGCGTGTATCGACAGTGCCTTCAGATGCGTCCCCTTCATTAAGAGTGACGTAGCGGTGGGTTGACACTGCGATGGAAAGAAGGTGATGCTGGCGTGAAGAGGAGAGGCCCGATCACGGATGGAGCGTGGGCAGCTGACGTTGTCGGGAGATAGCGGAGGCTGTGGAGTATTTGGATTTGGCGCGCGCCGGGCGAGATTGGATGGGATTGAGCTGCGGCAAGTGTGATTGCATGAGAGGAAAGAGCAAACGGTGTCGCCGAGTTGGCAGTGTCGAGGACAGTGTCGCGGCCGTTGCGACAGCAGAACGGGGGTCGGCTACGTCAATTGTGAAGTGTCCGGCACGATGTCTGTCGCGGTCAGGTCAATCACGGTGAGGGTGATGACGTGCGGTGAACTGATAGGACCCTGGAGGCTGAGTTCGAGATGTGGGGAACGAGTGCCAGACGGTGAAGCCTAGCAGGACCTGGGGTCGGCGGACATTGCTATGGTAAATGCTGGATCTGGGAGATGTGTTGGTGTAGATGGAGGAGGGAAAAGGGCTGATGCGAATCGCTTCCCGCTGAGATGAACTCAGCTGAGCGGGAGGGCAGCAGGGGGGGTGGCTCGAAGTATGAAAGCAATCATAGCCAAGGCGGCGGGGAGCCGTGGCGTGCTGACTTGGGCTCTGCTGGGACTGGAACTTGGATGGGGGCCATCCGTAATCCATGGGGGAGAGGGGCTTCAACAGAGTGGAGGGACGCTCGCGGGAGAAGGGGCCCGTCCGCGAATCGGGAGCTGGGAAGAAACAAGCTGCAGCATTGCGGGCGGAACCAAGTTAGGGGTTAGGGGCAAAGGCAATTGGACCCATGGCCACACAGCCAACAGATGCTGCTGCTGCTTGTCGAGGCCTGGAATCCAAACGCCCACGCAAACAGGCCGCTTTGTGGCTGCTGGGTCGCCGTGGCTCATTTGTCCACTCATGCCATCCTTCCAAGATGCGTGTGTTGGCCCACGGCTGCGGATTGGCTAAGCTTTCAGTCTGGAACGCTTTCGAGGTGGTGCCAAACTCTGGTGCGGTGCCAATGACGAATCGCGACGCACCTTGTCTGCACGAGCTGACATGCGCCTCCAGCGTTGTCGCTGCACCCACTGAGACCCGATCCTGGCCAGCCTCTGTCAAGGTCTCATGACCCAGCGTGCCTACATATGCATGGGGGAGATAGGAACAGACGGTTAGCGACTTCCTGTATTCGTAAGAGCTTGCTTCGTCATTCACGGCTCGGCTCATTTGTAGTAGAGCCGACGGTATTGGGCTAGAAAGAGGTTATTTGTAACCGATTCCATAAGCGATAAAAAAAAAAGTAATGCTTTGTCTCTTGATATTAAAGAAGGTGGTTTGTCCACCTTCAAGGATCTATAAACAGAGCCGAGTAGGCCGCCTTTGCTCCCAAACACCGGACGCCTCGATGGCTCGCTGCGACTTGAAATAGACTTGCCCGTCTCTAGGTCGGCCCATCATCCTACGTTCGGTAGATGACGCTCATCATGGTCGCAGTTCTTGAATTCCTTTCGTCATACCAGGCCCACGTCTTTGAGGCGATCTGTGATCTCGTCGGATTGCTGTGGAGTTTCAACAGTCAACTTGCAGTCCCACGCAATATGGCGCACGTGTATCTCGAATCCACTCAGGCAATGCTCTCCAAGGGCCATGGCATGTCCCAAGTATTATGTGGGGTGATGCGAATGTTCCGCAAGGCAGCTGCTACATAAGCTTGGTGACCTCGTCTTCGACCTGTTTCGTCTCACACATTAGTTGTCTCCCCTACCTGCAAGTCGAAGAAATAGGCCAAAGCAGGAGTGTGTTTGCAGAGGTGTTCATAGAGATCACATATCATGCAGGGGGATTCTTCCATCAGGCATCTTTTCACACTTACCTCCATATCCTCGAGTGAATCCTGCTGCCCTATACAGCGGAGAACGTTCTTCTTGCTACTCTCCTGAAGCTCGCCGGCGAGTAGGAGCTCATCCAGAATATAGTAGGCCTTCGTGAAGGAGAAGATGATGTCGAGCTCGCACACGTTGCCGTAGTACTTGTCCATCTGTTCGACATATCTGTGGATGATTTCGAGGGTGATGAGTTCGTTGTCCTCGGAGGAGCAGCCGGCGATGAAGAATAAGGAGGCGTATCGTCGGTACACAATCTTGGTGTCTGCTGAGAATGAGCACATGTTTCACGCTATCGCTCTAGGTACAGCCGACCTTTATATTCAATGAAGTTGCACATGCGTGTCCGTCGTGCCAAGACCAGCTGCGAGACGTCTTTGACGATCTTGGCCTTGTCCTTAGGCGAGAGGGTGGTGAACCATTTTGCCAGGCGCTGTCGCCGACACCGATTAGCATCGCCTCCCAAACTCGGCTTTCCACATCCATTCCGCCATGCTGTTGACATACCACTTTGCCCTGGCGGGAGAGAAGAATCAAATATCTGCCGCATCATTTAGCATTCGTGTTTTGGTAGGCGAATAGGGGCCAGGTGTCCGTACTGGATCGCCATGTTGGATACGGCATCACATCACCAGAAGCAAGGGGGCCTCTGGCGGGGATGCAAGGAAGAGAGAAAAGTAGCTTGCGTTGGTTGGAAGTGTGAGTGGAAGTAATCTTGACAGGTTGAATTTTGTCTGGGTTGGGGACGAGCTGCAGCTCTGGCCCATGCAGGCGCGGTGACGGGCAGGTGCTACCTCAGGCTGCCAATACTATGTATTGAATAATGTAGCGCTAGGGGGGCCCAGCACTGGGAGACAGACAGGTGCTGACGACCTCCCTGCTTCGGTGCACGTTACTGAGCCTCTGCATGCACGATTTGTCCGATGCGGTCTTTTCAGTCTGTCAATCACACCAGACTGACATCTTGAAAACGCCATTCTTTCGCTATTCCTACGTGGCAAAGCCGCCAATGCTTGATCAATTCTAGCTCAATGTGTTGTCACTTCCGCTGGCCAGCGTTGAAGAAGCTTGCCCCCACTGTGTGATACTGCTGGAGTGTTACCCTGGCAGTGAGAAGCCGCCTGTAAATACAGGACTCGTGGGGGTGAAGGAGGGGTTGGCTCCACCGAATTGATCTAGCGGGGTTTCCAACGTGCGCTATGGTGCCCGTCCTGTTAAACAGTCGCAAGAATCACGTCAACATCCTTCACATGCAGTCTGGATTTTAAGGGTCTCAGCTGCGGTTTGTTTTCTCCCCCCGACATGGACCGTCAGACACTTCGCAACTATTTAATACCTCAACTATTTCCCTCAAAGCCATGAAACCAATTGCTTAGAAATGCCCAACTGGTGATCCGTTAGTTGAATTAGTCAGCGCCGCCGTATATCGATTGGGAAGCCGAGAGACCGAAACACGGCCGCCGCTTCTAAAGAGGGTTCGGGAACTAGGACGCTTGAGTTGCGACCAGTCTATTTTTTTTCTCTCCCGCCAGTCCTTTCAACAACCACAGTCCCTTTTTTGCGATTCAATTCCCTTGTGAACGGCTGTCCGTCGGCTACTGGACTCTCACCATGACGCAGATCATTCTCTCCACGGGGTACGTTGATATCGAGCAAGCAACTTTTGCGCAGCTTATTGGCTCTCGCGACTAACACGCCGATCTCCGCAGCAATGTCATGTCCGCAGGGCCGACCATCATTCGCAAACGAGGCACCAATAGGTCGAATCTCGAGCTCGTCAACTCGCTTCAGAGCAGCTTCGCCTCCGCAAAAGAAGATTTCGCCCCCGCCACGAACGGCAGCGCCCACGCCCCCACCCCAGTTGAGGCGTGGACGGAGCGCCAGGGCGGGACGCTGTTCGTCCCCAGAATCAGCTGGCAAGGCGCCGGTCTCCGGGACGAGGCGAGCCAGTACGAGATCACCGTCAAGCTGTTCTTCCTGCGCGACACCCTGGTGAAGGAGCGGGAGCAGTTTGCACGCGAGGCACTGGAGCTGGTCAGGAGGGAGCTTAGGATCCAGTCCATTGACCTCCTAGTCGTTGCCTTCCCTGGCATCTCGTTCGAGGGCGACTGCGAGTGGGAGGCTGACAGGGTCAATGCGGTCCAGGGGAACCTGGACGACGAGGTTGCGACCTGGAAGGTGCTCGAGGAGTTCCACAGCCAGGGCCTCGTCAAGAAGCTGGGGGTGTCAGAGTTTGGGAGCGAGAAGCTCAGGGCGTTCATGGAGAGGACGACGGTTCGTCCCACCGTCGACCAGATCAACCTCCACAACTGCTGCAACGTACCGCCGCCGCTCAAGGCGCTTGCGGAGAAGTACGACATCCAGCTCAACGTTCACACGGACAGCACAGATATCCTGCCCTGCGGCACCTTGCGCGAGATTCTGGGCCCACAAGGCGCGGGCGTCTTGGCCGACTCTCCAACCGGGAGCGATGGTCTGAGGGGAGAGATAACTCCACACTGGGTAGTGAGGTATATGGCTTTTGTTCAAGATAGAGGAGTCATTGAGAACAAGGGCTACTTTGCCAGTTCCGGTTGGGATGAGAAGCCCTAGTCCAGGGAGAACAACCTTGGCGAGCGAGACACGTACTGGGATAGTGGTATGGTTGGATTCATGTCATTTTCGAATAGCGAGCATCATGCATCATGAAGGAGAAATATCTAGAGCCTATATGACAGAGGCCAATTTTGGATAACTATTTCTCTTTTTTTTTTTTCTTCTTGTTCGTGGCTATGTCTTTCTTTCTTTCTGATCACCCCAGCATGCTGCGCTTCCTGCCTCTCATTCTGACATCCTCGAGCCTCTTGAGAGCAAGATTAGACTGCTTGTACGCTTCTTTGTATCCTTGGAGCAACTCGTCGAAGATGCATTCAGCCCGGGGGTGAGTGCTGGTAAACGCCCGCTCCAACACGTAGAGATCGACAGCCCGATCCTCGTCCGTGGTGCTGTAGCTGGCCAGGCCGAGGTCAATTATGACTATTTCACCTTCCAATGAGCCCGGTGTCCCGTCTAGTTGTCCATCGGTTACACTCTCTGCAGGCGGGCTCAGCATCATGTTGCTGGTGGTCAAATCCCCGTGGACGATGCCAATCTTGTGCATCTTCCCCACAGCCAACCCAATCCTCCTCATGAGCTCCTTCAGAGCCTCGTCCTTGTCGATGCCCTCCTTCCTGTCTCCCAGCCTTTCATTCACCCTCACTCTGACGGGCGCACCGTGGACCCATTCAAGCATCATCCAGCCGGCCGCCTCGTCCATGGCGTACATAGCGGGCACTCGCAGTCCATCCCTGCGGCACTTGGCGAGGACCTTGGCCTCAGACAAGATCCGATGCTTGGTCAGCCGCTGGTCCAGGATGGGGTGGCGCCACGGCTTGGGCGGGCGGTACTTGAGGGCGCACGGGATGTCTGGCTGGAGATATGTGCTCTTGTACAGGCGGCCCTCTGCACCCTGCGTGATGAGATATGGTGGGGTTGAGGCGGGGTACTCGAGCACGGCGGGCAGGGGAAACTGTTGCTGCTGCGCTGGCTCAGAGGCCGCTTCAGCTACCGCCGCCGCCGCCATGGTCTCGGGATGGTTCGAGAAGGGGGGCAGGTGTGTACGCGGGAGTGTGCCCTTTTTGCTTGGCTCCTGGTTCGCCGTGCTGTTGAGAATTGCGGTTGCAGCTTTTTTTTTGGTTGAGTCACGAAAGAATTATGGAGAGCTTCTAGCCCAACACATGGCGACGGCGCATCTAGGTATGATTGGCCCGCTGGCAGGGTGGTTAAAATGTAACCTGACCTGCCGGCCACGCTTGCATGCAAGGTCCAGATATAGCACAGCTGCATATACATGATATTTAAAGGGGACTTGTAGCATGAATTCAATAGTTGCATTTTAAATTTGCAGGTTGGATTGCGACGCTGCCGTCAAGCTGCACCTGTTGGCCGACGTTGGGGGCGATAAGACATACTAAACTCTATAATAGCGCCGGAGGAACGAGCCGTGTGTCAGTAAAAGTAAGATAGTCTGCGAATGGCCTCGAATAAGTGGTTTGCAGAGAAAACGAGTCTAGTCCTCTGATAGGAGCCACGGGAGGGTCGGCTTAGCCTAGCTGCAGGTGAACAGGTGACAATCGACGAATAACCAAGTGCAGCTATTAGCGGAGCAGCTTCTGGGTTGATTTATCAGAGTGGCTGGGTGGTTCTAGACGTCCCGGGATTGGCCCCTTGGTCAGGAACACCTCCCTGTTGTGTTGGGATTTGTCTCACAGTCGACTTCAGGCACTGTGAATAAGCTGATGCCAGCGGTTCATGTCGCTCGTCTGATCAGCAGCTCTCCTCGTCGGAACCTGAGATCGCTTGCGGCTCAAGCGAATACGCACGATACAGTCGCAGTCAGCGCTCGTAAATGGAGACTTGTGCCTGGTGGGCGGCTTCATAGATGGATGTAGGTATCCATATGTTTTAGTATTAGCAGCTGCAGCTGCAGGGGCGGCACCGGGAGGCCCTCATGACCTGCAGGCGCACATCGCCCAACGTCACTAACAGCCTATACCCTAATAATTGTGTCGTATTTATTCCTCATCACTCCCTTGGCCTACTCCCGCCCTCTTCCCCCTCCCCAACCGATCGGCGCGTCTCATAGAATCATGGTCCGGTAGCGCGGCGACAGATATCATCCAGCTTGAGCACACCGGCCGCAATTATGATTGAAACCTCGTCCTCCGGCTGGCTTCAGTGGACCATCCTCCTGGTCCTAACCGCCCTAATTCTCTCCACTGTCGTGCTCGCACAAGTTGTCGCAACCTATTCCACTGCCTATGTCGCCGCGCCCAGGGAAATCGCCACTTTTAAGGATACTGTCGAGTTCTCCATCCAGGAGAATGAGAGCTACGACCGCGATGTCACCAAGGTCCAGCGGCTAGATGACAAGTTGCGCCTGGGGCGGCTGCTTCGCGAGATCCAGAAGGGAGGCGACGACCTGCGCGAGGAGCTCAACTCCCTCCTCATTGATGAGGACACCACCACGCTGCGCACAGGCGCTCGCCTTATGTGGGCGACCAAGAGGAGACACCTTGAGGACAGCGTGCGCAGACTGGACCTGTTGCGCATGCGCTTTCTCGTCGTCTACATGGGTATCATCACGTCAATCGCGGACAAGCAGCCCCCAGCCCCGCCACCTCTACCCAGAGACCCCGAGAAGCTATCGCTCATGAGGACCCCTACAAGACCAGCCAAGCCCACTTTACAGAAAGCCCACACGGACAACAATGTCAAGGCGCGCCCGCCGCTCCGGAGACTCACCACCCAGGCCATCGGACACCATGAGCATACTGGACGGCCGCACCGCCAGGGCTGGGCTGGTGTCGTCGAGGAGCTCCAGCTCTCTCCCAGGATGCAGCAGCGGCATGCTTCAATAGAAGCCTCGATGGCGCAGCAAATGTCGCCACCACTTCACACTTCATGAACGGAATGAATGAATACCAGACGATACACAGGACTGATAAAGCAAAAAGTGCGGCCCTTAGCGGCCACTGGATAAAGCATGACCAACATGATACAGCATTAACTACGACACTCATAAAAACACAGCGCGGCATCTGCGACGCGAAATGATCCTACGACAGTTTATGAACATACACCAGGCTAAAATTCTCATTTTACTTGATATGAGATATCACGGAACCAGGGGCTGGGGAGGCGTTTGCCAACATTGGGTTTTCATTATCACCTCACTACACATCACGTTATTTCATTTTACTTCACTTCACCCCAATTCACTTCACTACTTCTATTTCTTCTTATAACCATTTATGGTTTCTTTTTCTTTCTTATTTCTCTAGATAGGATACCCCGTTCATATTTTCTTTCATGAGAGAGTCGATGAAACTTTTTCTTATTTCAATGTTTTTCCCCTCTATGATTCCTTATCTGTCTGTGATATATTTGACGGTATCTGTTATCGATGGAAGGATGTAACGGACAACGAGCACGGGGGACTGGAATTCGGCGCCATTTCCATTATCTTCACCAATTACCTGTATTTGAGTCTGAGTTTGTATGTATGAGAGGGGTGTCTCATCAAGTGTGGTTCTCAGAATGCAGACCTCGCGACCAGGAGACGGCGCATCTTTTCATTTACGGCCAATCTATACCTTTTCCAAGTTCGAACTCAGACTAGGAGTAGTAGCATCGTAGAGGAGTGATTCCCATGTAATGCGACTCCAAATTTCCGGTGTCCCCTCATTCTCACGGTGCTTAGGAAAAAGGAACGCCTGCTGTCACACCCCGCGCACCATGCGCCATCTCTTCTGCCTAAATCAACTGCCGCCTTGATTCGTTGTTTGCCCTGACGTATTTCGGCCCAGCTGCTACTGTGCAACCATGATGAAGAAGAGAAAGCGCATATGATGCACAATGTGGTTTTACTTAGACCAGCATACATCATCGAACCTTAAAGCACAAAACGCGAAAACAATTCTGCCAGTTTCCTCCTCATTATTTTTGTTGAATACTGAGAACAGACTTGAAAGATACCTAGCTGGTTTGAGGTCTACACTGCGCCCGACCGGCAGGAGCTGCTCCACAGACGCGCAGCTTCGCATCACGTGACCTCATTGTGCGCGTTGCTGTAGTAAGGTTGCTCCCCGTTAACCATTAACGCGAGCTCGCTTTTTTCCGCGACGGCTGCCTTCAACCCTTCTTCATCCTCTCCTCCCCCCAGGATATTCAGCTCCGTCAGCGCGCGTGTCAATCAAGATGGCCGAAATCAAGATCGACAGCAAGCTTTTTCAGGAGCGAATTTCGCATTTCGCGACCTCTTGGAAGAATGACCTTCGATCCAAGGATAGCGTCTTCGGGGGCGCCTCGTCAGTGCTCATCATGATGGGCAAGGTCGAGGAGGCGGCCGAATTTCACAAGAACAATGCGATGCATGTGAGTTGCTGCCTAGAATCTGGATTGAGTCATTGGGATGGAAGTTTGAGCTGACTTTATTATTTTTTCGATGTAGTTTTGGCTCCTCGGATATGAGTTCCCTACGACGCTCATGCTGCTCACGACCGATACCCTCTACATCCTAACGACGGCCAAAAAAGGTGCGATTCTCCATCGGCATCCGCGAGTGAACAACTATTTTCTGACAAACTTATAGCGAAGCATCTGGATCAGATCAAAGGCGGGCGCTTCCCGGTCGAGGTCCTCGTTCGAGGCAAGGATGCTGCAGAGAATGAGAAGCTCTTCGTTAAGATTGCTGAGAAGATGAAGGCCGCCGGCGTACGTCACAAACGTGTCATTTTCACAAGAATGAGTCACTAATCATCTTCATCAACAGAACAAGGTCGGTGTCATTTCCAAAGACACGTCGCGAGGTCCGTTCGTAGACGAGTGGAAGAAGGTCCTGGCAGAGCACGGCAAGGATATTGAGCAGGTCGACATCGCGGCCGCCCTTTCGATGCACGCCTTCTCCGTCAAGGATGAGAACGAACTGCGCGCCATGCGATCAGCATCCAAGGCTTGCGTTGCCTTGATGACCCCCTACTTCCTGGACGAAATGTCGAACATCCTCGATGCTGGAAAGGACGTGAAGCACTCTGCCCTCGCCGACCGAGTTGATAAAAAGATCGACGACCCCAAGTTTTGGAAGAATGTAGAGCTTCCTAACAATGGCAAGCTCCCCTCTGATTTGGATCCCACCCAGCTGGACTGGATTCTGGGCCCTGCTGTCCAGAGTGGTGGAAAGTTTGACCTTCGCTTTGCTACCGATTCCAACAACGATAACCTCCACCCCGGAATTATTATCGCAGCCATGGGTTTGAGATACAAGTCGTATTGCTCTAACATTGCTCGAACATATCTGGTCGACCCAAACAAGTCACAGGAAAGCAACTACAAGCTTCTATACATGATTCACAACTCCATTATCAAGGATATCCGCGATGGAATGACGGCCAAGGAGGTATACAATAAGGCCATCGGCATTATCAAAGCCAAGCGGCCCGAGATGGAAAAACATTTCCTGAAGAATGTTGGTTGGGGTGTAGGAATTGAGAACAGAGATCCCACTCTGGTTCTTAGCGGCAAGAACTCCCGCGTTCTCCGGGACGGAATGACGCTTATTATCAATACCGGATTTCAGGATATCGAGAACCCTCAGCCGCAAGATAAGAACAGCAAAGTCTACTCACTCGTTCTCACTGACACAATCCGAGTCACCTCCTCAGAACCGGTAGTCTTCACTGCTGAGGCTCCTACCAGCGCTGATGCCAACTCTTTCTTCTTCAAGGACGACGAGGAAGCCGAGCCAGCTCCTAAGAAGGAGAAGAAGGATTCAAGGGTAGGAGCCGTCGCTACCAAGAATATCACCAACACCAGACTCCGATCGGAGCGCTCTAATCAGGTGGATGAGGATACCGAAAAGCGCCGCCGTGAACATCAGAAGGAACTGGCCGCAAAGAAGCAGAAAGAGGGTCTTGCCAGGTTTGCCGAGTCCACCGGTGCCAAAAACGGCGGGGAGATCAAGAAGTTCAAGAAGTTCGAGTCATACAAGCGAGACAACCAGTTTCCCTCAAAGATTCGGAATCTTGAGATCGTCGTCGACCCAAAGAACGCAACAGTCGTTCTTCCCATTATGGGTCGGCCTGTTCCATTCCACATCAACACGATCAAGAATGCCAGTAAGAGCGATGAGGGTGACTTCACCTTCCTACGAATCAACTTCTTATCACCAGGCCAAGGTGTGGGCCGAAAGGATGACCAGCCATTCGAAGATGCCACAGCTCATTTCGTGAGAAGTCTTACATTCAGGTCAGCCGATGGAAAGAGATACGATGAGATCGTCGCACAAATATCAAACATGAAGCGAGATGCTGTGAAAAAGGAACAAGAGAAGAAGGAGATGGAGGATGTCGTGGAGCAGGACAAGCTCATGGAGATTAGAAGTAAGTACCATCAGACCGAAAAGTCGTGCGTTTACATTGCTAATCACCTGTTGCAGATCGTCGCCCGGCCGTTCTTGATAATGTCTTCATTCGGCCCGCAATGGAGGGTAAGCGAGTTGCCGGTAAGGTTGAGATTCATCAGAACGGTATCCGCTACCTCTCGCCTTTGAACGCCCAGCACCGGGTGGACATTCTGTTTTCCAACGTCAAGCATCTGTTCTTCCAGCCTTGCGCTCACGAGCTGGTTGTTATTATTCATATCCACTTGAAAGATCCTATCATTGTGGGCAACAAAAAGAAGACCAAGGATGTGCAATTCTACCGTGAGGCGACAGATATTCAGTTCGATGAGACTGGTAACCGCAAGCGCAAGTACAGATACGGTGATGAGGATGAGTTCGAGGCCGAGCAAGAGGAACGACGTCGCCGAGCCGAACTCGACAGGTTATTCCAGGGCTTCGCTCAGAAGATCGCCGAAGCCGGTCGAAATGAAGGCGTTGAGGTGGACATGCCTATCCGAGAATTGGGTTTCCACGGTGTTCCATTCCGAAGCAACATCTTCGTCCAACCCACAACCGACTGTTTGATCCAGGTGGTGGAGCCTCCATTCATGGTTCTCACCATTGAGGAGATTGAAATTGCTCATCTCGAGCGTGTTCAGTTCGGCTTGAAGAACTTTGATATGGTCTTCGTCTTCAAGGATTTCACCCGTCCCCCTTACCATGTCAACACAATCCCGGTGGAGTACCTTGACCAGGTCAAGGACTTCCTCGACTCATCTGATATTGCGTTCAGCGAAGGTCCGCTGAACCTTAACTGGCCAACTATCATGAAGACTGTGACCGGAGATACACACCAGTTCTTCGCTGACGGTGGTTGGTCGTTCCTTCAGGCCGATTCAGACGAGGAGGGCGAGGACGAGTCAGAGGAAGAATCCGCCTTCGAGATGGACGATGATGAGATAGACGATGCCTCTGAGAGCGAGGAAGAGTCTGACTTTGACGGCAGCAATGCCAGCGACGATGATGACGATGGAGACGCTGAGCTAGACAGCGAGGAAGAGGGTGAGGACTGGGATGAGCTGGAAAAGAAGGCCAAGAAGCGCGACCGCGAGGACTCGATGAGAGACGACGAGGACAGAGGAGGCAAGAAACGCAGGAGATAAAAGATGCAACAGAGGAGAGGGGTGGTAGATGGAAGACTGTCTTCCAGACCACTGGAACAAAAGCAGCCTTCGAGGTGAAGAGGAAATTTGTTTCCTCTCACCGTGTTTTATTAGTTGGACAATTGGGGTTTGGTTTTGGCACATTGGTGCACCTACCGGGTGGTGAAGAAGTAATCACGTTGCCCGTGCAAGTACAAGGGCTTGGTTACAGCTAGTTTATCTATTACTATTGTTGTTGTTGTTTCGATATCACAGAATTGCGGTTTAGCTAGTCAGGTTCCAAAATCACGGTTCAAATTGGAGTTTACATTGAAAAATCCCTCGCTTCCAGTCTCAAACCACGGTGATGGACTCTTCACAAATTAAAATGTCGGCAAGCACACGGTCCCTCTCTTTTTGGCATGTTGTCTTGTCATTTTTTATCTCAATGCATACAAATAGGCCAATCAGCATCGTAGACCAACGGCACAGTACATAAATGACTCCTATAACTCCAGCCTTAGAAGAGCGAAATGGTTCGGCTGCTCGCCTTTCCACCTGTCTCACTACTGGGCCCCAACGTATCGCAAACTAGAGGCGCAAGAGACGGGAAACCTAAGCATCGCCCATGGATTAAGCCAGAAACCGCTGACGGGCGAAAAAGACAGGAGGCCCGTACGGAGACGAAAAGGAGCACCCAAGACCGAAAAAGGAAAACAAAACAAATCTGAACAGAACCGGCCAATCGATAATCGATAATCGCTATACAATGCCATAGCAGTAGGTGTAAGAAAATACGGGGGACGTCCGCGCCCGTCGTCTCGTAATTGCTACCATGTGACTCGTGTCCATATAGTCTTTGCGATCAGGCAACTGTTGTCCATTGCGCTGAAGGTGTTCATCGGCCCGAGACTAGTGGGGCAGCAACAGAGCGAGAGCGAGACTGAGGCAATCCAGCATCGAGCCACGATCGTGAGCCTGCTGTCTAAGCATAGTCACGACCAGTAGCCATAGCGGCGCTAGATGCTGGTTGTTGCTGCTTGGACGAAGGGGCATTGTTCCATGAGAGATAGGTGTGGTCACCAAGTTTCCTGGATCCAAGTTAGATTGGTCTGTAATGTAAGTTGCATGCGAATGGACTCACCTTGGTCGGATCAAATGAGTGGCTGTGAAGATTACACCTAGAATGATGCAAACTCCGCCAACAGCAATGTACGCAATACCGAGAAATGGATTTCGGCCTCCCATGACGGTGCGAGTGCTGATAAGAATGGACTTGGTGCCCTCATATTTCTTTGTAGGGAAAACTGGGAGAAAACTGTCAGTGAGGCTTGTTTTCATAACAACACTCGAGAGGGTAACAATTGCTCACAGTAATCAATTACGACTTCGTACTCGCCCGCTTCTAAGGCCGTGTTGTCGTTCTTCTGGTACAGCTTGCTAAAGGTTGGGAGACCAGCCGTTCGCATCCACACCTGGAACGCCTGATTGGTGCTCAGGTCAGGAGGTGGATATTCTTGAGAATACTTCCCATCAGGGTACCTCTTTTGCCAGTTTGGCGGAGGGAGGACATCGTCAGGTCCGTATGATGTGTTCTTGTACAGGTCCGCATCACTAGCCCAGGCAATGCCATCTTTGGACATCGCATATGTTTCCTTGGTGCTGTTCACAAGCCTCTGTGGCTGACTGAAAGTATCGTTAAACAGGGAGTTGGCAATAAGACCACATGGGAAGTAAGGCTTGTCTCCATCCACATCAAGAGGCTTGCATTTTGACCCTTTGATCGCGCTGGTGGCTCGGTTCTTGCCCTTGAGCTGGTCTGTATCGAAGGATTCGACGTATCGGCGATGGTTTTGGTAAAAGTTGGTCAAGTGGTAGTAGAAGAAAACCGGCGAGCCCATTTCCTGGGGAACGTTGAATCTCACATAGCAGCGGTCGACACCGGATACCTGGTAGCCATTATCAAGGGTGACGTTGGAGATGCCTCTGTCAACCTGTACCCGTGCATCAACCGCCGTCTTGTCGAAGGAGGTGTGTACTTTCGAGTGATCCAGAGTAAGCCAGTCCTCTTGTTCTTCAGTGTAGCTGGGTACGTTATTTTCAGTACAGTCGGTATAGTCAATGCGGATTTCTTGCACCTGTGGATCGATGGTCAGTCCAGGCTCGTCAACGAAACGAATAGGCTCATGTTGATTTTTACTTTGGAGCTGGCCCAGTAAAGGAGACCGCCGATAGGTGCGAAAATGATGCCGATGGCAAAGAATAGGGGCAAAACGGTCTTGGGCGTGAGAATAGGCCTTCAAACAAGTCAGCGATCAACACTTTCCCACGACTCGGCACTAGTGGCCGTTGATCGGTTCACTTACTGCCAGGCCTTCAATCGCTGCTGTCGAAAGGCAGTATCTACATGATATGATGGTGAGCCAAATTTGTCCTCATCCAGATCAGACCAGACGAACGGGGTTCCGAAACATACTCGCGGGACGACGGCTCTTCTTCTTCTCCGGCTGCTTCGGGCCGCTGTCGTCAGAGTTCATGGAGTCGATATGATCGACTCCTCGCGGAGAGTCGGCCATGGCTATAGACGGGTCGCTTTACTGCCGCGTACTGTGTCGGGGACGGTCGTGCAGAGGGAGGTGCCGAGCTCGATGAATTGCGCGTATGCAGGTGCTGGGCTGGACGTGAGGATGCAAGATCGCAATCAGAATACTTGCTGACTGTAACAGCAAGGGGCAGATACGTACTTGCAGATGCGCCGCGGATTGCTGCTGCTGTCTTTACGTGGTGTGTGGCGCAGCGACGGCCTCTGATTGGTGCCTGGGCTCGCCCTCCACTTCACAGGCGGCTACCCACACGCTCTAGAACCACCAGACCTACAGGTCTGCCGCCAGGGTCCTCCGAGTCCGTACAGTGCATGCATAAGCGGATGACTTAAAACACAGGCTCTCCCATCTCCAATCTGATGGACTCTTAAGCTCTCTCAAGTCATAAAGTCCATATCAAGACGCCATGCTACGCTTCAACTTCTATACTTTCATGCCGAGTTACTTGCAATTCCAATTATGTTGCCCATCAGGCACAAGGAGGAGACCCCGACTCCTTATTCCCAGGCTATCGTAAGAGCTACGAAATACTTCTCGTGTCCAAATCACCCGCCCAATTGATTGCAAAATAAGTTCATATTATTGGTCAAGGGCATGTCACGAGGTGATGTGAATCCGTAGCTGATGTCGGAGATGCGGTATTGAAGGCCAAGCTTGTACTTACTGGGGGGAAGTAGGCAGTGCTGCGACTAAGTCCTGTTCTATGCGAGCCACTGGGATATCATGACCTTATCATAAATAAGCTTATGTTGCAAAACACATCAAACCTCAAGCTCCAGATTTTCCACGTTTTTTTGGGCGCCGGAGAGCCATGTAGATTATTATATCGCAATTATATCGCAAAGCGAAAGATGGATAAGGATGAATACTACGATGTCTATGAGTAGACCGAGGAGGGGAGACTGAGGGTGTGGCCCAGAGGTGAGAAGTCGTTTCGTCTAAGTGGTTTGTTTAACCTAAGAAGGCTCTACGGCCACTTTATTAAAATTTTCAGCGAATTCGATCCAAAAATGATATATGATGGTTGTAAGAGAGTGGAAAGAATGAGCTGAGCGATGTTATCATGCGACAGAACTACATATTTATACTTGTCTTTCAGAGGTACAATCCTAACTCAAGGCGTGCGCCACTACTTAGAAAGTGTGGTTTTTTCATAGCCTTCGAAAAGGTGCCGATGGTCTGTAGCTTGGTATCAATATTTGGCTCCATTTCTTACTGCATCGATATTTTGATCATAACGGCCCCCTTTTGAAGCATCTTCTAGTAATCTAATGACCAATGCGTCCTACACAGAAAATTACATAATGCGTAACCTTTTTTTTGGAGAGAGTGGGGGTTTGAGTATGTGGAAGAACCAGGTTGCCTCAGGTGAATGTGTAGGAATATCTATCTGGATTGTCAGTATAACAAGGTGGAATTGCCTTGCGAAAATTGAACATCGATCTTGAGGCCCAGGGTCACTTTATATAGGCGTTATTCATGTAAAGGCATTCAATCTCAGGCATCTTTTAATATTACAGATTACAATACGGCAAGGCATTCCCAAGACAGCCCGTCTTGTACCAACCATGAGTCCAAATTCTGTTCCCCGCGCTCCGATACTTAAAAAAACCAAAAGAAACAAGCGAAATCGAGGCAATTCTATGAATGCTGACTGACCAAAACCATCAACCAAATAAGTTGTAGGCTCGACACTCAGCAACGAGAAATGGGTGGACACAGCTAGAACCAACACCATTGCCCCCGGTTTTCCGTCACTCTGCAGCTCTTCACGATGGAAGTGCTAGTCCTGTGCCCAACACAGATACTCGGTAATTCTTAGTAAAGTGTAAAGGGGATGGCCACATTGGTTTCATTATTCATGTCCCCTTACTCTAACCCTATCGATCAAATCAACTTACACCTCGCCTACAGCCGTATCGGTAAATAAAAATATTGAATCTGTTTATGACATCAGACAGCTCCTTCGTTATCTCGAACTCGCTTGATATCATTACACAAGATTTTACATTGTTCCACTACGATGTGGTGTGCTGCTATAAAACTGTTCATTAATCTACAACCATGAATTTTTATAATAAGGTTTTTAAAGCCATATTATCTCTAGATTGTTTGTTTTCTATATTGTATTATTTTTATACAATCAACCAGTATGTGGTCCATGAAATAAGTCGAAATAAGAGACCGTCTTTGCTTTCCGAAAACGCTACCTACTTACCCTATAGACCCCTGCTTTACACTTTCGATCAACACTCTCTCGTTCACGTTTCTTAAATATCATAGTATTATTCACCATGCTTCTATTGCCCCACAGAAGTAAATCAGTGTGAGTAGGATGCAATCATTCTTCAGGATATCCTATTTTGGCGAGGTATTACAGCCTTGCCTGGGACTGGGAAAGGTATATCCTTTTGAGTATGAACCTACCAAACTGGTTACCCTTTCCAGGCATTGAAATAACATAAAGAGAATACATATATTTGTTTTTTTTTTCATCGCTACATGTGTCTGAATACAGGTGTAGAATGTATGAAATCCCCAACATGGAGTAGGTAGAGTACCTTATCTCGTGGTGTGAAATGGCCATCAATGCATATGGGATTTACTACTTTGCCATACTTAGGCAACAAGTTAAAAGCTGCCTCAATACGTCGGTGTTGGCAAATTTCCTGACCACCCTGTCAGGCGTATGACAAAAACCATGGCCCACGTAAAAGTCGTAAACTAAGGAGCGTACCACCAAAAAAACCATCAGTATATAGGTGCCTACAAACCTAGGTATATTTTTCAGATTCAAATCCTACAATAATTTTCAACTACAATAATAAAATAAAAGTAATAGGCTGTATATAATTTGAAAGGGCTTTTATATGGTGATTTTCATTTTATTTAGATGCCTATTGCTTGGATAGTTCTGTATGAATTGTTTGTATGGGCCATGTCTTTTGTCACGCGCCTGCCTGTGTTCTGCTAATTCGATTACTGGGAGTTTTGCAGAATGCTCGAAGCACTGGCCAATTCCTCTCTCGGTAGTCGTTCGTTGTTTGTTTTTATTTGGACACGATTTGGCAAGGACTTTCCTACTATTTTCTTAATCGTATTCGCCACCAGGTCGCTACGTTGCGGCGCCGTCACCCTGGTCCTCGGGTGCGTCATCGGGAAAATCAAGATCGACTTCATCCAGCGGTGATTGTCTCTTGGATTTCCATTGCACGATCCCGATATGGTTCGTTAAATTTCCCACATTATAATGATCATCATTTACTTGAGGTGATATGCTCGGACGGACGGTCTCTAGCTCGTCGTAGAGAAGAGCCGTCGCGTTGGAAGATTCACATGGCCTGAAGACCCTGCAGGCCAGTGGCGATTTCGATACTTGGTGCTGGCTCCGAGGGTGATGTCAGACCCGATCTTCACCAAAACATGAAACGAGGCACGCAAACGGGGTGGTGTAGGGCAATGGATTCATCATTCGTCGAAACTCAAATCGACCCTTCTAGCCGCTGGACTTGCGGCTCGGCTGTCGTCCCTGGTCCACAATCCCCAAAGTTTCACAAGTGTGAGAGCTTCATTGGGATATCGGTACATGCACTCAAGTATGTACAGGCCGCAATGAGAACTAGGGCGGTGGGTTTCTCCTTGATGTAAATCCCCGAGGACCTAAAATACTGGATTGACTTGGCATTGGACCCGAGTACGTGCAAGCGGTTATGAACCTGTGCCGGCCGTGTTGTTTCTGTGTTGCGCGTCTGGAGAGCCAAGGCCTGGGCCAACAAAACTCGTTTGACAACTGCTGACTGAGGGGCGAATAATTGGCCAGAGCAGCAGGTTATCTCAGGCAGACGACGGGCTTGGCACTCAACAAAGACGCTGCAGCGTGCGCGGCTCAGCCATGTCATGGCATTATGTATGCCCTTGCCTGGACCCTGGAGAGCAACAGCGAATCACAATATCCACCTGAGCATGTCGATGCGACTGGCCCAATGGGATGTGTTGCATCCTCATTCACCCGCTGAGCTGGGAAGAGTGCGGGGCGAGACCTGGAATCGCCGCCCGCTAGAAGGTACGCTGGAGTGTGCTGGAGCTACGCTGGAGTCGCCGCCTGCCCTGCTGGGCTACTACTGCATGTTCCGAAATTTTATGGAGTCGCATCGAGGTAATCGCGCCCGCCCTGGAGAGGCGTCGTCATCAGCTCTTGTCCAACAGCCGCCACCTCTGCCACGGGCAATAGCTTCAGCAGCCGGTTTCCGAGGAAGCAGGGCTTCCATGCCTCAGCAAAGCGCCGCCAAGCTCGCTGCATTCGGTTTCTCACACACAGGCGGTTTGGTTGGTCTGGACTCCCGGCACAGCGGCTGGCGTTTAAGGTACATTGAGTACTTGCTCCCCATGTCTCCTTTGCCCTGCGCTCACCGCCAGCGAACCTGAGGTGATGAACTCGGCATAGTGGTCTGCTAGTGGGCAGCTGGGTGAAGAGAACAGCAGACGTGCAGCCAATGTCTCAGATTTCCAAGCAAAACTGGTGACTGGTAGGGGAGAACTGGCGCACTACCAGCTCACAAGCTGCAGTAACCACGGTACTTGGTTGGTGACTTGTGGTGTGCCGTGTGCAGACGGTGGATCAGTCTCTGGGCAAACAGGCTCAGCTTGGCATGCTCATACATTAGCCTAGCATTGTATCGAGGTACGTTACTCGGATGGTCTAGCCCAGCACCCACCGACCCTTGTCCTTGATTTGACGGGCTTTCCTTGAGACCTGCAGCGTCCCCAGAAAGCCAAAGTCACCACACGCCGATATTTCCGAGACGAGGAAAGGGCCTTTTGGCTCCTCTTGGCGGTGGCATCGCCTGCAACGTGATGCCCGTCTCTCGCCATCTCGGCACCAGGGCCCTAACGCAGTAGGTAAGGTAATATTTGCTGGGCGAGTGTGCATGTTCGTGCAGGTATATTATCCACGTAACCCTCCCCAAGCCTCTCGATGCCTTCGCCCCCTCTGGCTGTCGTGACTCGAAGCTGCTGCCTCACCCATATATCGATCTTAATTTGAGACTGCCAGTCTCACATTTTATTGACAAGCCACCATTGTGCAACGCAATCGTATATGCAATCACAATCACCGTCAAAGCTTTAAGCCTCAAACCTTGTTCCTGTTGCTGCCGCCAACAAAGTAAGCAAGCTACTACTTATTAAAGTAAGTTGCTGCCAACCCATCTCGTCACAATTTTCCGTCTCCTGTCCGACTCTTCGCTCGTAAGACCTGTCATACACACATACATCACCTGCGGACTCGAAATCCTGCACACCTACAATGCATCTCCACCACTCTCATCACCATCTCGGCGGCGAGTTCAAGAACACGGACAGACACAAGGATCAGGACTTATATGTTGACACGGAACCAGTACCGGAAATCATGGCCACTCCACCTACCCCGACCACCAAGTCCCGTCGTGATAGAGACACGGGATTTCCAGAACCATTCTGTGGCAGTAAGTTCCCCGAATCTACATTAGCAGACAATGGATCTAACAAAGCAACCGCTGCCAGCCTACAACACCACTTTACCACATCCTGATGCCGACCTCTCGCCTAATGCCGTCATCTCGGGAGACCACCTGTCTCTCGAAGGCTCCATGAGGCGCAGGCGGCTATCCATGCTGCACAAGCACCGCCGGACTGTTAGTCAGAGTTCCGGAAACAGCAATAGCAGCATCAACACCCCAAGCCAGGCGCTCCAGTCGGTCCTAGGAGCCATCCAAAGCCAGCTCCCCGGCACCTCGCCAGCTGCCCGCCCAGGATCCAGCGCCCAAGACTCGATTGACGAGGAGCCTCACCACCGTGAGATGGAGGATGACATGCGACCCGAGTCACGGGATACGATGCCACCCAGCCCTCACAGCAAGAGAGGTCTCTTCCACGGCTGGCGCAAGGGCCGACACTGAGCGCATCAAATACGCCCAACCTGCGAGAAAGACATACATGAAGTTAACGGCCGAAATCAGCATAGCATTCGTTTTTATTTTTATTTTGTGATTTAGCACGGGAAGCACTGGAGTTGGATAGCGACACGACACCTGGCAGCAATGCCGTAGAGAAAAACGAGCTGGGTTATTTATATTGCCTGGCGCGATACACCCAGCCGATGACATCCTTATAATTTATATCATTCATTCTAAACCGCTTGTGGGTCCTCTTTCGAAGTGAACTAGACTGTGGATTTGCCCGTCTTTCATGGTTGATGTACATTGTACCTGAGCCGCACCTCCCACACTGTATTCTTCAGAACCATTCACTTATAGATAAAAATCAACAGACAACTGCGACGAAGCCGGCTCAGCTTCCACGGTAGGTGGTGTAGCTGTACGGGCTCAGCAGCAGCGGGACGTGGTAGTGCTGGCCCTCCTCGACGCGGAAGACGATGGTGGCCTCGGGGAAGAAGGTGTGCTCCTCGCCAAAGTAGCCCGCGGTGTCGAAGCGCAGCGTCCAGCGCGAGGGCCCCTTGACGTTGGCGAGGACGTCCTCGAGGGTGTAGACGGGGATCTCGCCGGCCTCGGTCTGGGAGCTGTAGGGCAGCCAGGCCTGGATGCGGCCGTCGTCGTCGGTCATGGACTCGAAGCGCTTGACGTCGCCGTCGGCGTGGGACGAGAAGAGGGACGAGTCGGGCGTCGGCGGCGGGGCTGGGCCCTCGAGGCGCACGCGGATGCCCTTGGCTGGGCGGCCGGCCGTGGTGTCCAGGACGTGGCAGGTGATGGGGTCCTTGTTGGACATTTTGGGGGCCGGTTACAGAGTCAACACGGGGAGTGCGCGGGATATATAGATGGGACTAGTTAGAGGCGACCTACGATGTGGCGTGAGAGGAGGTTGAGATAGTTTGCTGGTGAGCGAGGAATGCCGCCTGAGTGTTGGTCGGCGCGGGGGCGGGGCATTGCTCAAGTTATAAGTGATGGAGGCAAGGTTACGGGAGCGAGCTATAGATAGGTGCTCGGGTAGGCGCAGCGAGGGCGAGCTGAATGCCCAATCGCAGGCCAATTGAATACAGCAATGGGAAGGCCAGGGAGGTGTTTAGGACTAGGGAAAGTCAGTCGATGGGTAGGCAGCGAAGCACAGCCAGGAATGCATGCATGATATAGGTCTTCATCGAGTTTATTGTCTAGCCATGTCTTCAACCTCGAGCGCTAGTGGGAGGGCGTTGACGCTGCTCGCCGCTCTCCGCCACGATGAAGAGCACTCGGTGAGCGCCTATCTGCAAATTCAATTGCTGGAGCGCCGTGAAAGACGAAATCCCGACAGTCTTAACAACCCTCCATTTAGGCTCGCTAGGGGTATGGGCTACCGTAACAGGGGGTGACCTGATAATCCTCCTTGGTTGAAGGTGATTTCTAAGTCCTGCCTGGGTCGTCATGTAGCATAGGACTTTCGACGTCATCAGCCCATGGGAGAAGCTTGGGCCCTGTGCTACTCCAGTGGCTGGGTCCTTCTTCCTACCTTGATTATTCCTAGTGCTTCTCAACGTACTGTGCTTTCAAGTTAATGGCATTATTGCCTGGCCTTTTCGAAGCAATTCCTGGGCGACATACTGTATTCAATATGCATGAATTGTTTTATATAGATTTTATCATTTAATTATTCAAATATGACTCGCTACTCAATTCTATCTTTGTTTGTTTCCATGTAAATCTTACCTTGCCATAACCCGATCTGGGCTGGATCTGCCTGGCTTATTTTGTCCACGTTGCCCCTCCTCCCCAGCTTGTTTCTGGAACCCACTATGTGCTTCTACAAAACCGCCAGCAACACAGCCTACGCCAGTTTGCCCTGGCTATTTGTTAGACTTCCTTCCGGTCCCCCAGGAGTATAGCGCATTGAATCACGGGAATCTCATTCATTTTGCATTCCAAACGAGCCGCCATGTCTACCGCCGTTATCTCCGCCGACGATGCTCTCGAGCCCAACCTGCAGTCCCTCCTTGACCAGCGCAGCCTCCGCTGGATCTTTGTAGGTGGCAAGGGCGGTGTCGGCAAGACCACCACCTCGTGCTCCCTCGCTATCCAGCTCGCCCGCGTCCGTCGATCCGTCCTGCTCATCAGCACCGACCCGGCTCACAATCTCTCCGATGCCTTCTCGCAAAAGTTCGGCAAGGAGGCCCGCCTCGTCAACGGCTTCGAGAACCTGAGCGCCATGGAGATCGACCCCAACGGTAGCATGCAGGACATGCTCGCGGGCCAGGGCGATGGAGACGACTTGAACGCCGCCGGTGGTGGCCTGGGTGGCATGATGCAAGACCTCGCATTTGCCGTACGTCTATTCTATACCTCGATTGGCTCGGTTTGAGAGCCCCCGTCTCCTGAAAGCTGCTAACCCTGCCGCTTACTTACAGATCCCCGGTATCGACGAGGCCATGTCCTTTGCAGAGGTCCTCAAGCAGGTCAAGTCCCTCTCCTACGAGACCATCGTCTTCGACACCGCCCCCACTGGCCACACCCTCCGCTTCCTCCAGTTCCCCAACGTCCTCGAGAAGGCCCTCGCCAAGGTCTCCCAGCTCTCCTCCCAGTACGGCCCCCTGCTCAACGGCTTCCTCGGCTCCAACGGCGCCCTCCCCAACGGCCAGAACCTCAACGAGATGATGGAGAAGCTCGAGTCCCTGCGCGAGACCATCAGCGAGGTCAACAGCCAGTTCAAGGACGCCGACCTCACCACCTTCGTCTGCGTCTGCATCGCCGAGTTCCTCAGCCTCTACGAGACGGAGCGCATGATCCAGGAGCTCACCAGCTACGGCATCGACACCCACAGCATCGTCGTCAACCAGCTGCTCTTCCCCCGCAAGACGAGCGACTGCGAGCAGTGCGGCGCGCGGCGCAAGATGCAGCGCAAGTACCTCGACCAGTACGAGGAGCTGTACGCCGAGGACTTCAACGTCGTCAAGATGCCCCTGCTCGTCGAGGAGGTGCGCGGCAAGGAGAAGCTGGAGAAGTTTAGCGAGATGCTCGTCACTCCTTACACGCCGCCAGAGTAGAGATGCAAATATTTTTTTGGGCATCTTTTCTTCTTCTTTTTTAAACTATGAATAGGGCCAGGAAGGAAAATATAAAGATTTACGAAGGGGAGTGGGAGCATTTTGTTTCAGACATTTTCGGGAGTAGCATGGAGTTGGAACGTCTTGAGCACATAGGTGATAATAGGTTAGATGGGGTTTAGTTTCTTCAGACAACCAAAGACAGATAAAAAATCCAGATCATGATTCCAAAAAAAAAGGTTCTCGTCATTTGTTTTTATGCTATTGGAGGGCTTGTAACTCCTTCTACAGTAATATTTATGCATGTCAAAGATATCAGGTCGGGAAAAAACCAAAAGACCTGGGGCCCACGCCGCTGCCCAGAAACACCAGAGCGCCTCAATAAGAAATATTCAAACATCCGCCTGAATAATGATGGGATGTCCTTCCGGCTCCACCTTCGAACTCCCGAATGCCACCCAAAAAAAAAAAAAAAAGTCAAAGACCTCCCTGTCGTCCAGCTGGCAAGTCGCTGTCTTGCCACATACCAAATGCTCGTAGCCATCGTCCGAGCATCTCATTCGTAGAACCAACAAACAACGCCGTCCCTAGCCAATGTCGAATCAAAAGGATAAGAATGCAATGTGAGGTGAGGTGAAAGGGAACCGCGATGCCTAGCTAAGAAAATCGGCTCACAGCTCGCGGTAGTCGCTTGGACGTACACGCCGCTGCTTGTTCTGATGTCGATGCGGGTTCACGGGCTTGCGGAAATACGCATCTTCCTCGGTTCCAGTTTGGGGAAAACCACCACCACCACCACCTACTCCGCCATTGGGGAATCCGCCGCCATTCATGTTCATATTGAAACCGGCCATAGGGTTCATGTCGGGGCCTCCCATGCCATTCATGTTCATGTTGAACCCTGCCATGGGATTCATACCTCCCATCCCGTTCATATCCCATCCGTTCATGCCCCCAAAGCCTCCGTTCATTCCATTCATCCCGTTCATGCCGCCGTTCATCCCTTGAAACCCAGGCATGCCCATCATGGGCATTCCCATCATTGGCATCCCCATGTTCATGTTCATATTGGGCATGTTCATCATATTGTTGGGCATCATATTAGGCATACCGTTGAACATCATTCCATTCATTCCCATATTGTTCATGCCGTTCATCATGTTATTCATTTGGTTCTGGGCTTGTTGATTCTGCATTGCCTTGGGTCCTTTGGGGATCTTGGGGTTCTCGAGGAGATCATCTGCGGGCCGCTTCTTGGAATTCGTCTCTTCAGGCTTGATCCCCTGGGATTTTGTCGTATCCACTGCTTGGGATCCGGTAGCTGTTGGTTTCGGTCCAGCTAGAGGTGATTTGCCATTTGCAGGTGGTGGAGTTGGCGACTTGGACTTGACCGTTGCTGATGATGCTTCGGATTTCCTTCTTGAAGATTCAACCTCAGTCTGCTGGGCCGACAGGTCGGTGGGTTTCTGGGCTGGCTGCTCTGAAGAGGTTTCAGGCTCCGTCTTAATGTCCTTCTCGGAGTCCGGGTTGGCATTCTCGGTGGGGGATGGTGCCTGCGCTTTGGCTGCCTCCTTCTCCTTAAGGTAGTCTTGGATTTTCTGAGCAGACTCTTCATCCGCCTGCAGGTCATCAATCAAGACACCCTCAGTCTGACAGGCAGGGCAAATAAAGTCGCTTTCTATGAGAGCATTGGTGATGCAATCATTGCAAAACGTCTTCTTGCAGCAAGGTGTCTTCATTGGTTCTATAAACATCTTCTTGTCAATTGAACACTCAAGTCCACGCTCCTGAATCTCCTTGTCCTCCGTTGAGCTGTCCTTGACAGTGGATGAGGTCTTTGCCTTGGCCTGGAACTTCTCCCATGACGCCTTGTCAGGTTCAGCAATCACAAAATCGCCCTCAGCATTGACCATAATACCAGACGGCCGTTTTGACTCGTCACCTTCGCTCTGTGCAAGAACAACCGACTTGTCCACCTTTTGCAAGAATGAACGGGGAATACCAGTGGTTCGCTTCACGCGCGGGCGGTTGTCAAAATCAGGGTCATCGTTAGTAGGGCAAAGCTGAATCCAGTGGCCTTTGTTACCACAGCGGTAACAGATATAACCATTGGGGGGGTCATGGTCCGGAACATTGGCGGGTCGCTTTTGTTGACCGGGCTTAAACACTGGCGTTTGACTTTGGTTGTTGTTAGTAAAGTTGGCGAATATACAAGACGTGGGCATACATACTGAGACATTTCTTCTTGCTGAGCAGACCATTGCTCTGTTTGCGCAGCAAACATAGCGGCCATCTTCTCCTCTTCTGTCATGGCATTGTTCATCTGGTTAATAGCATGGGAACTCGACTTGGCGGCGGCGGCCTTAGCAGCTTGCTCTTTACGACCTGCATTCTTTGCCGACACTGGCATTTTGCCGGAGACATATCGAGCTGCTCGCCCGGCGCCGGGTTTGGTTGCCGGCTGGCGTCTGGCAACCACCGTGGTTGATCTGGGGATGATGGTGGTATCATCGTCGTATTCTAGTATTGGTTAGTCAACCGATCTGATGTGCGTACATCAGGGAATACTACTTACCTTCTGAATTATCATCTGTGTAGATGAAGAGATCAAAATCGGAGCCATCGCCTAATCCACTCTTGAGGATGATTTCACGTTTGAGCTCAAATACAGAGATGCCAGTTCCATCAAACTCGACGCGCGTGGGCTCCTTCTGCGACTTAAACTTGAAAAAAACAGAGGAGGCCATGTTGAGCACCTGTGAGTAACAAGGAACCGAATATGATGTTGCAACAGAGTCCGATGAACTGATCGGCAGGACTGGCTTTGTTCAACACCACAACACGACACTAGGTAAGTAATGGCTTGTTTCTTCTGTGCTTGTGAAAAAATGTTTCCTTTCTTTCTTCTCTTTTCCTCTTTATTCCTTTGTGATTTTTTTTGTTTCTGTGCTCGCACTCGTGCGCCCTTTCAACTCAAGATGGACGGGGAAAAAATAAAATTATGATTGTACTTGAAAGAAGACAATAGGGTCATGGGCGTGATGAATAAGGAGTACAGTCGGCCGCAGCCAGCAGGAAAATGAACCCTCGTGAACTCCTCCGCAAGTCCAGATCACCACGTCAGACCTCCTATGATGAACCAGCCAAAACACGAAGTACCTTCAGTTAGGCGATTGCACTACTCTCCAATCCCTTCAAAGCAAGCAGACTAATTGGTAACGATTACCGACTTATCCAGCAAAGTGATGCCTAGGTGAGATCGACAATCACGACCACTGCGGAGTGTACGCTCGACGGGGATGCCCTGCCTGAAGTTCGGGAAACAGTGGACTGCGTGTTTCGCGCGCAGCAGCAGACGACGATGGCGATGAGGGATCGATGTCGGCGTCGGTTTCGTCTTCCCAGGCGGCGTGGTGTTGGGGGAGAAGAGAGATGCAGAAGAGGAAATGAGGCGGAGATTGTATGGGGCTCTAGGCTATCATTAATAATGATTTGATAGGGGCGCGCCGACTTTCGCTTGCAAGCGCCTGCTTAGTAAGGAATCAGAGTTCAGATGCCTGGAAAGTCCAACCAAAATGGGCAGAGCTGACCTAGTGCGAGCTCGGCCCGTACCAACTTTTCTCCGGCCTGTCTGGGGAAATGGCTCAACCGGCATGTTTATCACGTGCCTTTCTACACTTGTCACCTCATTCACTCTCCCATCAATTGGGTCTGGTGGGCATAGGCGGGTCCATTATTAACTACTTTGGTCGAATGACGATGAAAGCATTTGGCAATGCAATCCCCGACACACTGGGTGTCACACATCGCACATGCCACCTCAAGTACTGACCTACCCACATGGAGGTACCTATGTCCCCTATCGATAGGCCTGCAGCTGCCGTTGATAACCGCCTACCGGACCTGTTCTAACCCCTCTGCTAGACTCTCAGCGACATGTTGCGAACCAACCAGCACGCAAAAGTTCTGAGGTCATCCACCTGATGTAGAAGGTTCCCGCTGCAATGCCCCGCACCGTCTCCCTCCAACGAGCAACCTTCCGGTTGTGTCAACAAACACCACAACGTATTGGCACAGGGTTAATAAGGTCAAGCTCTCCCCGTATAAGTCAAATTTTTCATCACAGCCACCGGACGTACCTCACGAACTCAATACGCGCACATCAAGCACGAAAGATGGCTCCCAACTTAGACGGCTTCTTCAAGCAGGTGGACACCTCCGCCGACCACTTTATCGAGCGCCTGAGAAATGCCGTGGCCATCCCTTCCATCTCAGCTGAAGATGCCCGCCGACCTGATGTTATTCGCATGGGCCACTGGCTAGCTGCTGAGCTCAAGAGCCTCGGCGCCGAAGCTGAGCTTCGTGAGCTGGGCAAGCAGCCCCACAAGGAGCATCTGGAGCTCCCTCCTGTCGTCCTTGCTCGCTACGGAAACGATAAGAACAAGCGAACTATCCTCGTATATGGCCACTACGATGTTCAGCCAGCCGAGCTCTCCGATGGCTGGGCTACGGAGCCATTCGATCTCACTGTTGACGAGAAGGGCCGGATGTTCGGACGTGGATCGACCGACGACAAGGGACCTGTGCTGGGCTGGCTGAATGCCATCGAGGCGCACCAAAAGGCCGGCGTCGACTTCCCCGTCAATCTCCTCATGTGCTTTGAGGGCATGGAGGAGTATGGCTCAGAGGGTCTGGATGACTTGATCAAGGCCGAAGCCAAGAACTACTTTGCCGACGCAGATGCTGTCTGTATCTCCGACAACTACTGGCTGGGAACTGAGAAGCCTTGCCTGACCTACGGTCTCCGTGGCTGCAACTACTACTCAGTTGAGATCTCAGGACCTGGTGCCGATCTTCACAGTGGTGTATTTGGTGGTACAGCCCAGGAGCCCATGACTGACCTGGTTCGTGTGCTGGGATCCCTGGTAGACACTGATGGCAAGATCCAAATTCCTGGAATCATGGAACAGGTCGCAGCTGTCACGGCGGACGAGGAGAGTCTATATGACGGCATTGCTTTCACCATGGACAACATCTACGAATCCCTCGGTAGCAAGACCACGATCTTTGATGATAAGAAGCCCACCCTCATGGCTCGCTGGCGGTATCCTTCCCTCTCCATCCACGGTGTTGAGGGTGCCTTCTCAGCTCCAGGAGCCAAGACAGTCATTCCCGCCAAGGTTATTGGCAAGTTTTCTATCCGAACTGTCCCTGATATGGACGTCGACACGACCAACGCGGCTGTGGAAAAGTACGTGAAGGCTGAATTCGCCAAACTGAAGAGCAAGAACACACTGAGTGTGTATCCTCAGCACACTGGAAAGTGGTGGGTGGCATCACCAAAGCACTGGAACTTCTCGGCAGCCGCCAAGGCTGTAGAGCGCGTCTGGGGCGTCCAGCCCGATTTCACTCGCGAGGGTGGAAGGTAAGCACACCATTTCTCCTTGCACGAAACTATGCCAATATTCTAACACGTTTCCAGTATTCCCGTTACCCTGACTTTCGAGGAGGCCACGGGCAAGAACGTTCTGCTGCTCCCTATGGGAAGCTCTACGGACGGCGCCCACTCCATCAATGAGAAGCTGGACAAGCGCAACTACATCGAGGGCATCAAGCTGCTGGGTGCCTACCTACACTACGTCGCTGAAGAACCTCAGGCCTAAACAAAATGCTTCGTCATAACACTTCGAGAGTTCATTCTGGGCGATATATAATGTTAAATAATTAACTTATGTGGATTCAGTTCACCGTGACTTGTGAAGTAGACGGTGACTTGTCCAAATGAAACAGTGTATCCCGGTATTACGGCAGATCATCCGACTGAGACACTGGCTACATCGCACAGGAATGGCGGGGTCGTGAACCAATCGTACAAGCCATCTGCATGAAGCTAAACAAGCCCAGTCATTGTACATACCTTGGCCAGCACCTATCATGATACACACACACCGCCACAATCGCCGAGCCGCTAGGCCGAAGAACGGCATGCACTTCTCCTGATATGCTGGTTTCAAAACAGGATGTCTTAGAATAGTGATGGTATTTGCCGAAAATCAAGGACCGGTCAACTTCAAGTGCATACACTGACGCCAGCATTGATACCGTATCTGTGTGGGCAACTCGGTGTAATATGTAGAAGTAAACACATCAGGTACCAAAATCAAACATGTCACATTGGGCTTCTCGTGAAGCTACCTTACCTCGCTTAACACAGTTTGTCGGTGGGCCACTAAGAATGTACATGTAGAGTAGAAGGACGCCAGGAGTACTGTGATAAACATGGTGTGCGTTGTAAGAAAAAAGCTCTGAGACCAATCGGACTGGCGGCAGCATTTGGGTGCCTGTGATAAAAGCCCCGTCACTGCATACTCCGTAAGGACCGATCTGATACCCGCTCGGAATTGATGGACTTGGGGTAGATCCACGATCCTCGATTTCCCCATGAAGAAGCACCTGCCGAGTTCGCCCAGAGTTTGAAACTCCAGACTAGTTGAAAATGTCTCTCCGGAAGATCCAGGGTGTGTAGGCCTCCCTCGTGGGGCAATTGCGGTGTGCTGATAATGCACTCGAACCGCTCTTGTGATCATGTGCGTGGATGCAGTAAGGTTGAACCCCCGCACCCTCCAACTTTAGGTGCTGGCGGACGTGATGTGATTTGCCCATGGTCGCTGCCCTGCACCAGAGAGACATGCATACAACAATCTCCCTGCCTCCCAGCCAGACCTTTCAATAATGTAAAGCTCTCTTTTTCACATCCAAGGCTGGCCCTTTTGAACCGAGACTTCGCCGTAGCCCATCGCAAATTCCATTTCCTCCATAGCCCCATGAGGACGACGCCCTGAAGCTCTGAACCGCCTGTTCTTCAGGTATCATTCCTCGGTCGCGCGCTTGCCCTTGCTTGCGCCGTCACGCCATCCATCATGGGACGTGATAACTTCATTTCTGCCACAAAGCCACTGTTCTCGAGCTACCTTTTGCCGAGTCTAAATATCCCCTTTATTCGCAGCCGGCGCCGCTCTTCGGCCTCGTCCGCAGCATCAGACGCTTCGTTGGGCTCTCCTCCGACATCGCCATCAGCTGTCTCATCCGCTGCAACCACACCCACCAACTCCCCAACAACAGAGAAGCATCTGGATTCCATCCCGACCCGACTCTTTCGAGCCGCCCCGGATACCTTGCAGTGCTTGGCGTGTTCCACAGACATCGCATTTGCCAACCAGATTATTTCCAAGGGCTTCACGGGCAGCCACGGCCGGGCATATCTGGTCGCACCGCCGGCCCCACCTGCTGAGCAGACGCTGCTGAACATCCGAGTCGGGGCGAAAGAGAATAGACAGCTCGTGACTGGATGGCACGTTGTAGCCGACATCAACTGTGACACGTGTCTCAAGAAGCTGGGCTGGAAGTACGTGGACGCGAAGGAGCAATCGCAGAAGTACAAGGTGGGCAAGTTCATTCTCGAGTCGGAGCGTGTCGTGACGCACCGCAGCTGGGAGGATGCCTTCACGGGGCGGGGGGACTACACCAGGAATTCATCTACAGATGGCGACGAGGGCTCGGTCGAGTTTGACTCCGACAACGAGGATGAGTGCGAGGAGATATTTGCGGGAACATGGGACCCGAGCACTGTCGCTAGAAGGAGGCGTGAAATGCAACGACAGAGCAGAGACGAAATCTATTAATGGCAAGACAGGAGAGAGATACCCATCGGTTTGGTCTGGGATGTGACCGACAGTTTTTCTGCTTAATTACCAATACCCCCTCAGCAGCTTGGATTTTTTGGCGTCTTCTTGTTCATGCTTAGGTAGTTTGATTGGAGGTGGTGGACTCTAATTCGAAACTATTATCCATCTTGTTTGCTGGTATCCCTCGCTCTCTTTGTGAAGAAGCTAATGAGGTCTTCATGCCCAATGACAAACGTCCTGTATCAGCATGGTAAGGAGGATGAATAAGATGTCCAGTATTACTCCTCAATCTCCACAGCTCTCCTGATAGATCATCTCATGCTCGCACATCAGCCAAGTTGCCTAAAGACCACATGACGGTGCCCAGGAAGGAAAGCCGATCACAAGATCTCTTCCATCCCTTTTCTCGGGTCCTTTATCTCCATGCACTCCGCGTGGTTTCATGTGAAGTCTTGAGTAATAACCCCCGTCAACTAGGTGCCCGCCAACGAGTCAAACGTCGCCGCTCACGATGCAGCGTTTGATGAGAGGACCATGATGAAACAGGTCTTGTTGAGACTGTAAAATTTAAATAAATGCCTATCTGTTCAGCAGAAATTTGTTTGTTCTTCCAAAAACCGTACTAATGGAATACTAATAGACTCAGGTAATATGTCACCAATAGCTCGTGCTCAGTCGGAGGCGAGGTGGGAAGCCGTCATCCTGATGGGTCTGGGTGGGGAGCAGCTGCAGCCAGGGAAGGTGGGGTGGGGGACCCTCGCAGAGAGAGTCAGTCTCAGGCCCCCCAACCAACCCCCAAGCAGGTAGTACACATGTACCGCCTACCAGCCATGGTGTAGGTGCATCGATGCAGGCGCCAGGTATGATGTACAGTTCCATCATACCGCCCAGATTGACGACGGCAAGCACACGCAGGCGCAAGGATAGGGAGGGTTGGGAGGGCTACATACAGCCTGCACGCTCCCCTTTCTCCACGGGAAAAAAATGTTCATGGGTGCTGCTAACGTGCATGTTGAATATCGTCACCCCCCACGAGCAATGGCAACCTCAGATGTACAAATGTCAGAAAAGGTCCTAGCCACCTCTTGTGCCTAACCTATGCTAACGCTTCCGACCGCCAAATCCTCGTTCATTCCTCTTTCAATCCATCTCTTTCCTCGTGCATCTCCAATCTGAGCACCCCTATCGTTTGCTTTTCCTAGTTCATCGCAGGCTTTGTCTATGATATACCCGCTTCTTCCAGTGACGCCGTAACTCCTCAAACCTCCTCCCTCACCGTCATCCCCCCACATTTGCTACCAGCTCAATTCAGTAAAAGGAGGCTCAATTCGCTTGTCCAAGCTGATCCCACCTCTCGTCACGGGCGGACCCATCTTCTCGAGCTTTATGAACCGCTTCATCCATCCTGCCCGTGTCGGATCCGCTTGTCAATTTCATCCTCAGCGCCCCCAACAATCCTGAGCGGCTTCCAACGTTTCTCTCTCCACCTCTAGCTACCTAGACCGCCGTTTGGCCACCTCGACGTTTCGCCAAACATGTCTGGATCAGGAGGCCACCGAGCTCGTGGCTCCGACGAGTACAACGTCTACGATGACGCGAAAACGTACTATGGCTCTGCAGATCGCCACAACAATCGCTTTGGATCTCGCACGAGAACCTATTCCCAGGTGAGTCCTCTTTGCAGGCATTATGAGAGGAAGTCATTCTAACTATGACTAGAACAGTCTTTTCAAGCAGTTTGAGAGAGTTGGCCTTAAGGAGCCTTTCCGAAGAGGCAGCCATGGTAAGCAGCATTGATTCCGCCAAAGCTCGATAGCTCGCCCTGCTGACCGTGTTGCGTTGCGAACGTACAGACGAGAACAACAGTCAATCCGGACGTCGATTCCTGATCCAGGTCGATTCCACTCTCGAGAACCTACAAGCCCAGGAAGATACCGATGGCAACATGCAAATCACAATCGAAGACAGTGGCCCCAAGGTCATCTCTTTGCGAACAGCTGGCTCAGCAGGCCACAATCGCTTCGATGTCCGAGGAACATATATGCTATCGAACCTGCTTCAGGAGTTGACACTGGCTAAGGAATATGGACGCAAGCAAATTATCCTCGACGAAGGTCGTCTCAACGAGAACCCCGTTGATCGACTGTCCAGGCTTATCCGTGATCACTTCTGGGAGGGTCTCACCCGCCGTATCGATGCCTCAAGCATTGAGATTGCTGCTCGTGACCCCAAGGATTGGACCGACAACCCTCGACCCCGAATCTACGTCCCGGTTGGCGCGCCCGAACAGTTTGAGTATTACAAGAAGGTGGCAGCTGATCGACCAGAGATCAATCTGGACGTCCAGCTACTTCCCGAGAAGATCACGCCCGAATTGATCAGAGACATGAACGATGCACCCGGCCTGCTTGCTGTCGCTGTAGACAAGGTCACGGATGAGAATGGCGAGACAACGCTTAAGGGCCTGCCTTTCGTTGTTCCTGGTGGCCGTTTCAACGAGCTTTATGGTTGGGACAGTTATATGACATCTTTGGGTCTTTTGGTCAACGGCAGGGTTGATTTGGCCAAGGCTATGGTTCTCAACTTTTGTTTCTGTATCGAGCATTATGGCAAGATTCTGAACGCCACACGGTCTTATTATCTTGGCCGATCTCAACCTCCTTTCTTGACCGATATGGCGTTGCGCGTGTATGAAAAGATCAAGCACGAGCCCGAGTCTCTGGAGTTCCTGCGCCGCTCCATCCTGGCTGCGATCAAGGAGTATCACAGTGTATGGATGAGCGAACAGCGCCTGGACCCTGTCACCGGCTTGTCTGTCTACTGCCCTGAAGGTTTGGGTGTCCCTCCTGAGACCGAGGCTAGCCACTTCGTCCACATCCTTGACCCATATATCAAGAAGCACAACATGGAGTTCAAGGAATTTGTGAGGGCTTATAACTATGGAGAAATCAAAGAGCCCGAGCTCGACGAGTATTTCATGCATGATCGAGCAGTTCGAGAGTCTGGCCATGACACAAGTTACCGTCTTGAAGGTGTTTGTGGCCACTTGGCGACGATTGATTTGAACTCGCTTCTTTTCAAGTACGAAACAGATATTGCCAGAACCATCCGCAGTCTGTTTGATGACAAACTTGTTGTGCCCGCCGAGTTTGCCGCCGGAACACCGTACAAACCTGGCGAGGTGCTCTCTTCTGCGGCTTGGGACAGACGTGCCAAGCGCCGCAAGCTTACCATGGATAAGCTGATGTGGAATGAGCAGGAGGGCATGTTCTTCGATTACAATGTTAAGAAGCAGGAGCGGTGCACGTATGAGTCCGCGACCACCTTGTGGGCTCTCTGGGCTGGCATTGCATCGCCTAAGCAGGCGGTCGATCTAGTGAAGAAGGGTCTGCCGAGATTTGAGGCCTACGGAGGCCTTCTCTCTGGAACGGAGAAGTCTCGGGGAGAGGTCGGCCTGAAGCGACCTAACCGGCAATGGGATTACCCATACGGCTGGGCACCGCAACAAATCCTCGCCTGGACCGGGCTGCTCCGCTATAGCTTCACGGATGAGGCTGAACGGCTCGCCTACAAGTGGCTGTTCATGATTACAAAGGCCTTTGTGGACTTCAATGGCGTTGTAGTGGAGAAGTACGATGTGACGCGACCCGTAGACCCCCACCGAGTTGATGCAGAGTACGGTAATCAGGGGCTCGACTTCAGAGGAGTCGCGAAGGAAGGGTAAGCGAATGTCTAACCAACTATTGGCCGCCTCCACCCCGGTCATTTAACTGTAAAATGTAACATATGCTAACTATGGGCGTCACAGATTCGGCTGGGTGAATGCAAGCTACGTTTATGGCTTGCAGATTGTCAATGCTCACATGAGACGGGCATTGGGCACCTTGACGCCGTACCCGACCTTTATCAAAGCGATCGAGGCCAATGATGAGAAGGCATTGGCCCAGCTCGGCCTTCCTGAAAATGAGTAAATGTAGATAGACATCGGGGGATTGGCTGTTTTTCCCCGTGATGGGAGAACCACCTTCGCACACATATTCCTTTCGTTTCTCGTGTCTCGTTTCTCCTGCCATATTTCTCCTGGTGTTATCTTTGGTCTATTCTCTTATAGAACTCACTCGGTTGGTAGACGGCAAAAGGGGGAGTCTCTGGGGTTGCTTCGTGAGGGGCCTACTCGAGGGATGGCTATGTTGGACTTTGAGCAAGCTCTGCTAGTTCCTCAATGCTACATTCTGTGATATCTCATCCACGCAGACACAACGTAGTAATCCTCGCGAGTTCCTGTTTCTGGGCGTGAATAGAGATCTGACTTGTAACGTGAGAAGCACATGTCAGGATGTCAACGTCTACACCTTCCCCCGGGCAGGCTACGCAGAATATTCATGTGACGTGATGTGACGATGGTGCATTGCCAATCCACCTACCTTACCCCAGAATATGTAGGAGGAAATGAGAAGCATAAGCCGATAGGGGGAGAGGAAGAGGGAACGAGTTCCCATTATTGAGTCACAGCAATATCAATACCGGAGCGAGTCTCGTAGGCCGAGGTAGTCCACGAGGAAATCTCGTAGATCCGTCTACAAACGAGCTGCATTCCCGGCTACATCTGGGGGAGGGTGGTCTCCATGCACCTGGATCGAGAAAAGAAAGCACTAGTTGTCAAGGGGGGAGAGACGAAGCGATTAGTTGGACTGGGGTGCCTTCACATGCTTTCTCACCCACCCGAGACCCAGCTCCGGTACCCCGGGCCTAAGGCGCAGCTGGAAATGGCTGAAGCGTCGCTCGTCCCTTCCCGGCAGTAATTCTGGTTCCTGCCATTTCTTCTCCTCCCTGCGCTTTCCTTTTGTTCTCTTGGAGAGAACTTAGGCAGGTATCTTCTTCTAACGTAGACCAATTGTACTGGGCAAGTGAAGCTTCATTCGACTTTTTCCTTCACCCACCATCTCGCCGTGACGTTCTCCTCTCATGCGCACGCGGTCCGTAGACGTTCGGTCACCCATCTCGCCATCTTGCATATCGACACACACTCTCGGCATCGGCGCAGGGGTGGGGGGCCTTCTTACATCCCATCAGCTGCGCTCGTTCCGCCGAGGGGGTGGGTTTGGATAGACGGATGTGGCCCTGGAAGCCCCAGAAAATGGAGATCGGCCGTCATGGTTGTCTCACACACTGTCGGGCCCATGCCATCCCAAATTCGGCACCTCGGCCAACGACGGCTATTGCCTTCTGAAGTCTAATTGCCGTGCAAACTCAATGGGGCCCCTTTGCTCCGAGAGGCCAGGCGATGGCAAATGCAGCAGAAAGCAGGACATCTATTGATTGAAGCACCTGCGATACCCACCAGCCCAACGGGGCAGCCCAAAGGAGCAACCAATGCTCGCCTGCGATTCGATGCACGAATGCTATGCTTAGCCTGGACTTTCCGTTAAACGAACGGCAGCCAAGCTATCCCGATCCTGAGCGCGCCGTGGGATTCCAGGTTTCGTGTACCTAGGCACACGACATACATGTCACAGCTATGTCCCGGTGACGGCTATCTAGATGCACCGGCCTATTCCGGCGAGTTGCCCGTCTCCTACTTGTGACTTGACCTGACTCCCGAGGCGCAATGGCGCAAGTCTAGCACCTCAATTGGGGCAAGATGCACGAGCCGCCGTGGGAGCTGTTCGGTACAGGTGAGTTTGCGTCTTAGTCTAGCTTCTTTGCTCTCATCTGCTTCGCTCTGGGGTTTTAGGCTGGGCCATTTGACCGACACGTGCCATCGAGTCATCGAGACCCTTCTTCCATTCTTCCTGGCTTTGACCCTGCCTCTTACCAAACAGCCGATGTATGACTCTTCTCCATTCTCCGGTCGTCGTCCCGTGAATTCTTTATATGAAGCTAGATCCCCTTCCCCTCCTTGACGTTCCTGACCCTGCTTATCTGTTCCTGAAGCATCGCGTGACCAGCTGTCTCTTACATCGCTAGTACTCCCATCCACTTCAACTTATATCCCACTCCAACATCCATCTTTGACTTTCGTACTGCTCTGCCGTTGTACATCCAACCCCACACCCCACAAACTTTCATCATGGCGGCCAACAACATGGTCAACCAGTCCGTGAACCCGGACCACGAAGACGAGATCTTCGCAAAGGAGGTCGAGCAAGTTAAGACATGGTGGAATGATTCCCGTTGGCGGCACACCAAGAGACCCTTCACCGCGGAACAGATTGTCTCTAAGCGAGGCAACCTGAAGATCGACTACCCCAGCAATGCTCAATCCAAGAAGCTTTGGAACATTCTTGAGAACCGTTTCGCGGTATGTTGTAGCTGCCTCGGCACTGCCCTCCCTGGATCTTGGGATTATTGGTGAACCTGTTGCTAAGTCGAATAACAGACCAAAGATGCCAGTTACACCTATGGTTGCATGGAACCTACCGCCGTCACGCAGATGGCCAAGTACCTCGACACCGTCTATGTTTCCGGATGGCAATCGTCGTCAACTGCCTCAGCATCTGATGAGCCTGGCCCGGACCTGGCTGATTATCCTTACGTTAGTATATCCTCGCGCAGGCGGTTTACACCAGGCGTCGCTAACTGGTTTTCCCCAGACCACTGTCCCCAACAAGGTCGGCCATCTCTTCATGGCACAGCTCTTCCACGACCGCAAGCAACGACAAGAGCGCCTGAGCGTCCCCAAATCCGAGCGATCAAAGCTGGCCAACATCGACTACCTCCGCCCCATTGTTGCCGATGCTGATACCGGACACGGTGGTTTGACCGCCGTCATGAAGCTCACTAAGCTCTTCATTGAGAAGGGTGCTGCCGGTATCCATATCGAGGACCAGGCTCCAGGAACCAAGAAGTGCGGTCACATGGCGGGCAAGGTTTTGGTGCCTATTAGCGAACACATCAACCGACTCGTGGCTATCCGTGCCCAGGCTGATATTATGGGTGAGTGTGACTTCTTCAACAGTCGTAAAGTTGTGTATCGTTAAGCCCCCCCTGAAACTAACCGTTCGCGTAACAGGCTCTGATCTTGTTGCTGTCGCCCGTACTGATGCCGAAGCCGCCACACTCATCACAACCACCATCGATCCCCGCGATCATGCTTTCATCATTGGTTCAACGAACCCTAGCCTGCCGGCACTCAATGAGCTCATGATCAAGGCTGAGGGCGAAGGCAAGACAGGTGGCGAGTTGCAGCGCATTGAAGATGAGTGGCTCGCCGCCGCCAACCTTCAGCGTTTCGACGATGCTGTTGCCTCAGCGATTGATGCCGAAAGCAGCATCGCCAACAAGGCTCAAGCCAAGAGCGACTATCTGTCGGGGGCCAAGGGCAAGTCCAACACTGAGGCGCGTGCCGTTGCCCGTAAAGTCCTGGGCAAGGATGTCTTCTTCGACTGGGAGGCACCCCGAACACGCGAGGGTTACTACCGTCTGAAGGGCGGATGCGACTGTGCTATCAACCGAGCCATTGCCTACGGCCCATACTGCGATGCCATCTGGATGGAGAGCAAGTTGCCCGACTATGCCCAAGCCCAACAGTTTGCTGAGGGTGTCCACGCTGTCTGGCCAGAGAAGAAGTAAGTTATCAATTCAACACGGATTTTGATAACCAAAAAGCTAACCATCTGCGATCTAGGCTTGCTTACAACCTGTCTCCCTCTTTCAACTGGAAGACAGCGATGCCCCGCGACGAGCAGGAGACATACATCCGACGCTTGGCGGGCCTGGGTTACTGCTGGCAGTTCATCACATTGGCCGGTCTGCATACAACAGCACTGATCAGCGACCAGTTCGCAAAGGCCTACAGCAGTGTGGGCATGAGAGCGTATGGAGAGCTTGTCCAGGAGCCAGAGATGGACCACGGCGTGGATGTGGTCAAGCACCAGAAGTGGAGTGGTGCCACCTATGTTGACGAGCTCCAGAAGATGGTGACGGGAGGTATCAGCTCAACGGCGGCGATGGGCCATGGTGTGACGGAAGACCAGTTCAAATAAGCTGGCTTAGTAGGGAGTGAAAGGAGTTGGTCGAAAAGTGAGGTATAAGTAGAGCCGAGAGTCGGAGGGGGTAATGAGACTATGAAATCAAAGATCCTTGATATATGGAAGTCGCGGTTTTTGTTCGCTTATGCTATGGCCTGACCAGTCAGGGGTTCTGTTTACCTTCTTATACCACTGTCACATATTCTGTTCACAAAAATAGCGCTGCTTAACATCCCGGTGAATTTTTGCCCAATTCGTTATGGGAAGCTGCAAACAATTGGCTCAGTGAGGCTGCCTGTCACCCTGAACGTAGACCGGGGCCTGCCGGCATCGCGCATGTGTTTTAATCACTCATCAGTTGATCTTTGGGCAGATGGTTGAAGGAGAATTGCTTTCATTTGATTACTAGGAAGGCTCAGGTGCCCAAATATAAATGTGTCTTCAGCGATGATAACATGTTTGCTATTAGCTACACATTCAGATATTGTTGTTATGTTGACAATCCAACTAGTGATCCGGATTCCGAGCAACAATCCCCGATGGGCTTGGCATATGCGGGGGATTGACATGCCCCTCCCCCGGCCTTTGGTGTAGCGTTGACTATCAAATTGCTCGGAGGAGGCAGTTGAGTGCCTTCCTCTAGGCTGACTTTGCGCCTTTCTCAGCATCACTGGGTGGTTTTCGTCGTTCAAAAGCATTCGTCGCTGCATCCTCTAGGACCTTTTCAAGCTGCGAAACCAATTAGCATATGAATAACAGAAAGCTAGATAGGCGTTATAAGCGGCAACAAACCGAAGTGAATTTGAAAGTTAGCCATCCGATACAGGTGAGACTCAAGAATATTCCTCCGATGAGGATGAACCAGCGCCAGTCCGGGTTGTCTTGGAGCAAATTGATATTCATCCCAAATAAAGACTAGAACAAAAGTTTAGTTATCAATTGCAGTATATGGATGGATCTTGATTTGACAGTTTCGACCTACCGCTGAGAAAGTTGAGGGAAGAAAGATGAACTGGTGCGAATGAGTTGAATACATGTATTACGGGCCCGTGCCAAAACCCACCGTTATCCAGCTTAAACGCTTCATGCTTCGAGCCATCGAGATGGATCGCTCAGCCATTGAGTTGGATAGCTCAGCCATCGAGTTGGATAGCTCAGCCTGCCTGAGGGAGATCAGGTTGGACTCCTACGGAAGGTCAGAAAATCCAAAACTTGAGATGTGTCTAATGCCCTAACCATTTCAATGAAGATTTCATATGTCGAATCCAGAGAATCTAATTGCTTCCCGATGCTGTCTTGTAAGTCTTGGACTGTCTTTTCGAGTTCGCCCATGGCATCGAATTGGGAGTAGTGGCGGTGATATCTCTCGCCGAACGAAATTGTTGTATTGGCGTGTTGTTGCAACAGTCGCCGCATCGCCGCCCACTTCTGTCCGTCAAACATCAAGCGTTCCAACAGATTCAGATCGTTGCCAGATTTGCTCATTATCTCCTCACGCTGAGTAGCGCTTGTTAGGATCCGATAGAGTCAGGCATAGACATCCGGGCAACTTACCCATCCCTGTAGCCGATCTTGGCCCTCTTGGCACACTTCCAACCACCTGGTCTTCAAGGATTCAATCAGCTGTATTATAAGCCTCAGCTGTTGATCCGGGATGAAAACTTGAGGCATATTGCTAAAGTAGGCAATTGGCTCTAAGCGGAGTCTTGAGGTCGTGTTTTGGGGCCGGGCCATTGTCCACGACACCCCTATTCGCGCATTTCCGGGATTTTTACCAAACATATCGTTGAGAATACCTTCAGTGTTGTCCCCGACAGGGAACCGAAATGAGGCACAATATCTATAGACATTCTCAATTCCAGAGGTTGCATGGGGAAGCTCTTCAGTGAAAATCAGTTCATTTTGCTCATTTTCAACATGGAACTTTGGAAACCAGCCAGTTTCCCAAAAGTTTGCCGATTCCTCATTGAACACGCTAACAACCGTCAGTAACTCTATCAGAGATTGGTCTATAGACTTACAACAGATGCCTCTGTTTTGCGTTCTGGTTTGTTGAACCGACGATTAGGTCGATCTTGGCTGTGTCTGAATCCGAGAGAAATCGCAACGAGCTCTTGCCGGCTCGTGGTTGTGCCAAGTAAAGAATGTCCGAGTTATTCTCCTTAAACATTGCTCGGAGGCCGGTTGCAGTGATACCAGCCGTGCTTGCTGAATGCTCTATCAGCAAGTTGGCAACACCAGCCTGTCCCATCCGAAACGCAAGGTTCAATGCCGTTTCACCATCGCTGTCCTTACCGTCGATACTAGCACCTTTCTTCAGAAGATCAGCAATCAATACTTCATCGCCCAGTATCACAGCCTCGTGCAAGGGGGGTTTATCCCATGCACTATACTCAGACTTGAGCATAGCGCGTACTCCCAACCCGAAAAAAACAACCAGGCGCAAGACAATCACCCTTGTTTCTAATTCCTGCGAATATCTCCATTTGTCTCCTTGCATAGCTTGGTAAGCGCTACGCACTAAAACGTCCTGATCCAGAAAGTCGACAATCCGTTGAAGATCGGAGTCCGTCGCTTTAGATGCATGATGTCCCCAATGTTTAGCGGCGTAGGCATAGAGAGGGTATGATTTAAGTCGAGCTTCAAAGTCTTCGATTGACAAGCATGGGCCTGTTTTGAAGACACTTCGCGACAAGTAAGCAATGCAAGTCCTCCCAATAATAGCGTCGATATCCGAGACCCAATCCGTGGCAACCTTGTGCTGAAGATACAGGCGCACACCTCGGAGGGGTATACGAATGGCTCCAGAGGGCTTGTCATGAACCATGTAATGGATATAGCTCACCATTTCGCGCCCAAAATTTTCAATCTCACTTGGTTCGAGCGCTCCTAGATCACTACTCATGTGTATCGCATCAACCAACTCGTCAACTGTTAGAGGCTCTTTTGAGTTGACGATCCAGCCAATGGCTAGCTTTGCTGTTGGGCCGAGTGTCTCACCCTTCATTCTCATGAAGCTCCGTTCGCCTTCGAATTTCTGTTCCAGGTATGTCATAATTTCTTGAGGCGTAGAATCGATTATTGCCTGAACCTTGTCACGTTCCAACAGCGACTTGTTGGCTACCAGTTGATCCAGCACGATTCGAGCCCAGAGAAACATTCCTTATGAAGTTTTAGCCTTGTTTCGATGATTGATAATTCAACTTACCATCTGCTTTCTTCGCAATGCAAAGCGCCATGTTCTGGATATCGGAGCTTTTGACCCCTATTTCCAAATTGTCCTGCCGAAGAGCCTCCAGCCTCTGCACTGCATAGCACCGAATAGAGCATTCTATTCTAGTTTTCTCATCTATAAGAGATACCACCTTCGCATTCATATTCACGCGATGATTTTTAATCTCCTTCATGGCCTGAGGCGAAAGTACTCGACCCGATACGAACACCTTGAAGGAGTGAGAACCTATTTCACGCAACAGCTTTATTAGCTGAAGTTGCGTGTGGCAATCACACTCATCTACCCCGTCTAAAATGACACAGAAGGGGGTTTTCGGTCCAAATAAACGAGAGGCGATTATTGTGCGGAGGCGATTCTCAAGTTCGTCTTCTCTGGTGGACGCACCCGTTCTGTCAGTATCAAAAATATCAAAGGCTTGGGCTAATACCGGGTACGATTGATAAATCTGCAAGATGAGGGATTTGACAATCTCAGAGTATTTTGTCGAACATGGGAGCGCGTCAGAGCAGAAATGATAGAGAACGAGCGACTCTTTGTGGAGTGCTCTCAGAATGGCCACAAGCTGAGTGGCAAAGACAGTCTTCCCGCTTCCAGGATGCCCTTCCAGGACCAAAAAGGCCGGAGAGGTGCTTGGAGTGAGCCATTGTTCGACTATAGGGTGCTGTAGCAGCCAATGATGTGAAAAAAAGGGCTTGGATGCTCCAGAAACGATAGAGTCAAAGACTTCAGACTGTTCGGATTCGTTCGCGTCGAGCCAAACAGAAGCGTCGTGGGGGATTTCCCCCGGTTTTTTACACATGCCTATCCCTTCAAGAAACAAATCCTCGTAATACTTTCCCTCGTTAGTATAGATCCCGTCGTCGAATGTGTTTCGGTGTGCTTTTAGATCATTGATGATGCCCTCAAAGTGTGGCTGGCCGTAGACCCATGCCTGTGAAAATCGATATTGCCAGTCTACATCTCGTTAGGATAGTTTGGCCCTCACCTTTTAGATATGAAAATACACTCACTGCCCCCCCGCACAACTTCGTATACTTGACTATGCAACTTGATGATGTCTGCGTATATCATAGCCAGCGACTCTATCAAGCCACTGTGATTTATATGTATGAGCTGATCATCCACGGAAATATCTATTATCTTGGTAGCTCGATTGTAGACCTCGACAATTTCCTTATACACTCCGGGATACCCTAATATTATCTGTATATGACATGTCAGTACCCTATGCTGAAACTTCCAGTGGGGGCGGCCACACTGCTCAAGAACGTCAGGATTTGTTCATGGTATACTTAACTTTAGGAACAACTGGGCCGGAGCCGAGACTAGGGGAGGATATCGTCTGTCGCGGCAAACTGAGGCAACGATTTTTGAATAATTTCCCAAACTGGCAAATATAGACTCAAGATTCTCATGGGCGATAGTAGCATCCTGAGTGGTGAGGGGATCAGTTGAAAACCCATCCCAAGTGGCACCGGTAAGCTCGTTGAAGTCGTCCGGCGATACAACTCGCTTGAAATTCTCGAATGCCATCCTGACATCGTCATGTCTATCGAACTCGCTCAGCCTTCCAGGGACCTTCATAACAAGCATATGTCCGAGGAGTGGACCAAGTGACAAATTGTCTGGCGCCACACGGGCAGCTTGTTCGCTGTCCTCGGACTCCCCATAGACACGTTCTGGATCCTCAAATGAAGACATCTCGGGCGAACCTTACACAGGACAGAGATTAGATGGGCGCCAAGGACAGTTCGGTCTGGTTCTCACTATCCATTCACCCGTCCCAGAAGTGTCGATATTACCTACTAATGGCTGGAATTAAACGATCAATTTCGCAACTTAGTTCCGGTCGGTGCAGATGGAAGGGCGTCAGGGGTTCACATCTGCACCAGCTGGCATAATACAACGGCGAGTGGCACATGGGCTAAGCAGATGTAAGCCAGTCAGATCTACGAAAACTGCATAATGCCGCCCAACAGGTGAAATTTACCAATCACGAATGCAGGAGGCGTTGAGAGCCCGCAAGAATGTTGGGCGACGGAAACCCAATCGCGCGTGAGAATCCATGCTCTTACTGACGTACCAGGATGGAAATAGATATCCAGGGTAATTCAAACATACGTGTACAACCTTATCACTCCGCCAAGATAATTCCTCTTGATAACGGGCTGGGAAGGCTGGCAGGTGATGAAACGCCAAACAGCAAATCTAGCTTCTAGCTTGAAGTCGTGTACTCGGACCCGGAACTTTCTTCTATTCATTGACCATGATGACCACAATAATGAGAAAATAGTACAGTTTTGGTTTTTTTGCTATTTTAGTCTTAGATTCAATGTGCATTTCTTTTGTATTGGAAGACACTGTTGGTCGCCTTGGCAAACTGAATTATCGTGTCCCTTGTCACAAAGTATATGTAAAGGTGTCAAAAAGTGTAGAGCAAACCGTATTGAAGTCAGTTGAGTAAAGTCTAAGACTACATACTTCATTCTATGTATAAGTGGCAAACTTCCTTCAACCTTACCATGACCTTGCCACAAGTTAACTTGAACCTTACTTGTACTGTGCTCGTATACAGAGAGGTATCAAAACCCGTAGAGTCTCAAGGACACGATGTTAAATACGGCCAGTCAGACTAGAACCCGCCTGGCTATGTTTCTCCTTATCCTCTACAACCGATGTAGCCTGAAGAAAATCTCCTCCAAATCTCCAAATCTCCAAATCTTCAAATCACTTTATACCAAAGCTCAAACATGGACAATCGCTGGCGACTGAAACCCAGGCCAAGCCGAATGCAGGAGAGGCTGAGGCAGTGCCGTGCCGTGAACGATGAATACCTGAACCTGCTCGATCGGTACGAATGCCTGCGGCAGGAAGTAGAGCCCAGATTCCGACCAGATGAGCTGCAGCCGGTAATCGATGACCGGGCGCAACTTGCAGAGATGGCCATACTCAAGGTCAGGATGGCCGAAAAGAACAAGGAGATTGCCCGCCTGGAGCGAGAGGTGACCATCGAGGAGCTCAAAATATGGCCGCATTCCAGAGAGTTCCTCGAACGAAGGATGAGGCTTGTGAGCGGCCGCTTCCTGGCTGCAGGCGAGGAGGTGTGGACGAGTGAGAGGGAGAGGATAGGGGAACTTCACTCAGACTTCTTCCCCATGTGCAATTTCAGCTTTCATGACTACATGGTGGCTCTTTATCGACAACCTGATGCTCCTGGTGGGGAAGCAATGTTTGGCACAAGCACAATGGGCGAAACTATGGTAGTGCCTTCTGATGGTTGGCGCGCAGACCCTGGCGGAGGAGCCATGGTGCGGTGCCAGATATCTGGGGAGTTGTTCCCGGTAGCTGATATGAGGGCTGCTCCCATCGTTCCCGATTTTGTTCATACCAGTGCCTTCGGCCCGTTGCTTTTCGGGAGTGATGCTGAATCACTGCGAGGATCCGGCAACTTCCTTTCCCTCCACAGAGAAATCGAGAAGTGGTTCGGGACGTACAAGCTTGTGATCCTCCCAAATGATCCGGAAGAAACACCCATCAGGCGCTGGAAAACAGCGGTCATCTCCTCCCAGCTGAATAGTGAGCGCTTTGCGGGTCGGGAAACGCTGGTTTCAGCGTTCGATTCACAGGAGCTGGTTTTCAATGACGAGGAGCGTCCGGTTGCAAAATTTGCCTATTTCCACTTTGTGATGGCTCTCGTCCGCATCAAGATGCTCAACTACGAGGGATGGCGGGATGTATGGGCCGAGTACTGGATCAACCCCCCCTTTCCCCAAGGGAGTTTGTACATGCGGGAATGCATGCTGTTTGCTTTATTTACGTATTTCAGCTTTTCCGGCGCTGATCTGGCCATTATCGACTCATGGATCGGGGGTAACGGGTTTTACGAGGACGAAATTCTACGTGGCCGTGAAAAGGACGAGTTGGCCCGCCGAATTCTGGTTGGAGTAGAGGAGGCTGTGGTGAAAACAGAGGACGAAGCAGAAAGACTCGCCGCTCCGGACGATTCGGAAACGGAATCTGAAAGCTCTGAAGACTCTGATAGCTCCGGAGACTCTGAAGATGACTCAGAAGCGGATAGCTCTGAAGGCGATTCAGAATCTGAAGATGATTCGGAATCTGATAGTTCTGAAGACGATTCAGAAATGGATATCCCTGAAGGCGGTTCGGAAACAGATAACCCTGAAGGCGGTTCAGAAACGGATGACTCAGAAGATCATTCAGGGACGGAATCCGACAGTACAGAGGATTACATGGTGGAGCATTGAACTTCTTCATGGCATAGTGATGAATTTTGTTGTTGTTTTCTCCCATCTCCATGACTTGCAAAAGCCTGCCTGAATATCTGTTTTCATTCCATCATGGCCAGAAGCTTTGTTTTTACATCGTTGAGATAACCAGTGTTTTATAGAGAATGGATTAGGTTTAGTTTCCAGGACCTCAATCATACATGACATAGAACCAACTACGTGACATTGAATTCCGCACACCAAAGCTGCCAATATTGTGTTCTGATTTGATATCAACACCATCAACGCAATAAGCAACAATGCCTCGAGACAACACGTGAGCAATTGTTTGTTATTGTCTGTTATTGCAGTGAAGAAAGAATATTAGGTAAATAAGTAGGGGCAGCGGCAGGCTGGCGACGAGTCCTCGACCACACTTCCTCACATCTACTGCAGCTCCTCCTCTGTTCACTTCGCATGCATCTCTGATTTCAAACGCATGCATCAGCAATAGAATGAGAGTACCTTCCAACATATCCCTTCTTCAAGGCATCAAACGAACCAATTTTCAAAACGTTCCACTATCTCAGCGCCAGTTTCAAAGCAATCGACTTCAAGATGAGGTTAAGATCCAGCTGGCCTATGCTTCAGTTTCGGAACAAAACTGATTGCAGGATCGCCCGTGGAAGAGCTCAACGAATTGGAGGTCCTCGACCGGAAGGTCTATATTGAAAAAGTGACTGTGAGCTTCATCTTCTCCAAATTCAGAATCCATACCTTGTGATACGGTGCTGGTCACAACGCAGATTTCCCCAGCTTCCATGTCAACAACATCATCTCCAAGCACACCGGTTCCTTCACTGCCAGCTCTCACAAGCCCTATACTTTGTGTGCGACCACCCAAATATGAGTGACGATGAATCTACTACTCGCATAAAGCAATACCTGTCAAGTGGTGGCCATACTTGGTTTCTAGGAGAAGCGAAATCAATGGACGATGCTCCTAAAGGTGATATGGCGCTTATGTGCATGATATCCCGCGGGTGGCGCGTTGAAATCTCGCAACGACCAGTCCATTGATTTGGCGTAAATTCTGAGCACTTCAGCACTTCATGCCAAGTAGTATGTCTACATCCGGCGTGGTGGCCGTACCAAGCCAAGTTGCCCTCTATCAGGCGGGCTTCTCCTTTTTTCTTCCCTTTTGCTAGGGGTCAACGGAACTGCAAAGAGTTGCTTGAACACGGCTTCAAGGAGAGTTCTTTATTCTCGTTAAAACTTTATTGCCCTAACATGGTCTATTCGAAGCTGGAGTTTAATAGCAGAAGCGTCCACCGCTCTCGACGTTTCTTGAAACTCAGTCAGGAAGTAGTTCTCACGCCATCTCATACTCAAAGCCTCAGCGAGTCTCACATAGTGGGTATAGCTTCTATGTCCAACCTCTCGCAAGGAAAAATAAAACGAGGTCAGACAGCTACAAGACATGTATGCCATGGGTTCGACAGATTTACCACTCCCTACTCCCACCTCAAGTTCAAGGCAGACGGGGTTCTCAATGCACACTTTTAAGTTGTCAAATTCCCTGATTGAGAACCGGTAGCATAATAAGGCAGAGCCCGTCCCACAAGGGGCACAGGTAGTCAAAGCTAATCAACCCTTCAGCGGGGTGTAGAACGATAAGAAAACCACTAGTCAAAAACAAACAAATTGGTGAATGCAAATAGGAACCAATCCCCCCTCAGTCGCTTATTCTGTACCCGAGGCCGCTCCTCCTGCTCCGTTTCCTTGAACGCCAATTTCCGTTCTCATATCGCTTGCCTGATCATGGTCCATCCTCAATCTTGGGACAAAAGGCTCTTAGCCTGCCTCGGCGAGCTGCATGATAAGTTTCGCTGCCATATCCAGGAAGGGATATGGACTGGTAACCTCCTTCTCCTCTAGCATCTTGCCATGGGCCGTCTCGTAGCCTGAGCACTTGAAATCGACCAGGTAGACCCCCTGCTCCATTTCATAAATCTGGATATCTAAATGCATGGCAACAAAGGGTTTCGGCGGGCCGCCTTCTGCCGTGGAGAGTTGGTAGCTATCTGGGCTGCCAGCAATATCTTTCCCAGGTCCCACAGGCAAATTGCGGACCTTCTTTTGGATTGCTAGGCGGCAGACATTAGCTGAGAACTAAATATGCTAATGCACGGAGATGATATATACGTACTTGAAGCGTCCCACCTAACTTTGATGTGCCAAGGGTCGGCGGGGAGCTTGTATCTTTGAGTAGGGTCGAGGCTTGTAGTCGAACGACCACCAGCAGATCTGCCATCATAATAATCGGCAAAGCTGCCCTGCCCACTGTGGCCACCATCACTACCTCTGCCCTGGTTAGGGTCGAAATCTTCATCAGGTACATGCGTTGCACCCAATTTACGCAAAGCCTTGTGAATTGTGAGTAAGGCTTCCCAAGGCGCATTACGCGATCGGATGCCAAACTGCCACCTCACAGGCTTGGTTTTCTTTTGGGTGCTCACGGGCGTTAGCCCCTGAGGCCGCTTGACAGCGGCCTCTTCGATACGCAGCTGGCTTCGAGAGTGAGGCTTTAGACGGCGTGCCATTTCTTGCCTCTCTGCATCTGTTCTTGATGAAGGGGGCTCTTCGATACCTGTTGTTTCTGAAGGGGTGACTTGCTCCCGTCCAGTCTTCTGGCGCTCCCAAAAGTCCTTGTGGTAGTTCGGGAGACTGCTTGGCAGAATACCAATTTTGCTGACGTATGGCCGAGGAGATACCGTGCTGCTCGATATCCCCGACTTGGATGATTGGCTCATCATTGGGCTGGCACTCTCTGGCTCAGCGAGCAAGATCTCTGGGTGTTCTAGTTTGAAAGATGTGAGAGGATGAACAACAAAAGGAGGTATAGGGGGTGTACTCACGGTTCACCTGCATAAGTTTGTTTTCTCTCACAATCATGTAGGCATCCTTGATAGCTGAGGGCTCCTCGGCCTGCAGTGCTTCCTCAACGTCACCTTTCCCGTAACCCATCGTTTTACTAATCTTTTCGGTGATTTCATTATGCAGCCTCTCTTGCACCTTCTCGGGGGCATTTGGCGCAAGGTCGCTCTTTTCAATAGCCTTGTTAGGGTCCACTCCGGTGTGAAGAAATTCTTCAGCTGGAGGCGCCAGATATGGAGGGAGATCCTTCAGGAACCATGGGTCCTCTCGAATATCATCAATCGTAGCTCTCTGAACCGGATTCACGACAAGCATCTTTTTGATGAGGTTGGCTGCGCCAGTAGGCATCCATTGCGGAATGCTATATGTTCCTCTTGCGATCTTGGCGAACAGGCTAGGGATATGTTCATCGTCGAAAGGCAGACGGCCCACCAGGAGGACGTAGAGAATGACACCGCAGCTCCATACGTCCACTTCAGGGCCAGCATAGAGCTTACCGCCAATAACTTCTGGCGCAGCATAATTCGGGCTGCCACAGCTTGTCTTGAGAAAGTTACCGTCTGTCATGATGTTGCTCAAACCGAAATCGGCAATCTTGACATTGAGATTCTCGTCCAAAAGCAAATTTTCTGGCTTAAGGTCGCGATGGACGATCTTATGACGATGGCAGTATTCAACTGCGCACAGCATTTGTTGGAAAAATCGGCGGGCTTCTGCTTCCTTCATCCGCCCGTGGGCAACAATGTAGTCGAAAAGCTCACCGCCTGCATACTCAAGGACCATGATGATCTCGTTGGGAGTTTTAATCACAGTGTATCTAAAAAACCCCCAGGTTAGTATGAGATTTGGAAAACGAGGGAGCCTAGTTCGTCTCACGCACAATTTGATGATATGTGGATGTCGCAGCAGTTGGAGGTACTCGATCTCCCGCTCGACACGGCCAGCCATGTCACGGCTGATCAGCTTCTTTCTTGCGATGATCTTAAGAGCGACCTGCTGTCCAGTTCCATGATGAATGGCAAGCTTGACTTTCCCAAAAGATCCTTCTCCCAAGGTACGCACAACCTTATAAGCACCGATTCGCTGTTCTGTCTTCTTCCTAGTCGGCATCTCAGCGGCACCGGGCCGAGGGGATAGGACCTGCTCCTCGGGTCCATTGTCGGATTGTTGAGGCGGCGGCGGCGGCTGGAACTGTCGGCGCACGTGGGAAGAGGAGAGAGATATTGTCAGCTCCTCATCCTCGAATCCGCGAGGGGCCATGGTGGCGGCTGTAGGGGACCAGGTGGTCTTGGGCTGAGAAAACCAAGGCTCCCTCGTGGGGTCGGCTCTTAGAGGTCGGCGACGGTCGGAGGAAAGGCTGTGAGATGGGCGCAGCGGCGATGGGACGATGGAAATTGGCCGGTCTGATGTATGACGTCCTGCTAAGCTCAGCCTGGATTGACGAGCGTGCCAGACATAGAAGCTGAGGTGGAGTTCTGTCGTATTCTGGTTGGGAATGATGGGACGGTTTGGAGCTGTTGATGCTGTGGGGTGGAGTGGAGGGGGTGGTTCCGGACGCCGGGGGCGACTCGAGTATCGGTACCTGTCCGCTATCTGGGGAAGCCAGTCGCCGTAGATTGGGAGGTACGGGCAAGGTTAGGACGCAGGTACTTGTACGACATTACGTAGCGGCAGTCGCTGGTGCCGCTGAAAGAATCCGGGACAGGCCTGGCAGGGTGGGGCACATGCTTCCATCTGTGCTCCCTTGCCAGCAGCAGACTCAATTGCCCAGCACAAGCTGCAAATTGATGAATTGTCTTGCGAATCCGAGCTTGACATCAGCACCATGTTTGCCCTTTCGTCCAGTATCCGATGGGCCCCACGAGCCCATCTGGTCTTTGCCAGAGCAATTTCGTCACTGCCCAACAATCCACATATTGTAAGCTTCAATGCGAGCGCAACCCAGGTCTCCGAGCTACCTGATTGACCACCGATCGCCAGAAAGTGTTCGACGACCACACGTCCCCAGCATCCCACATCCTAACTCTCCTCGACAACGATCCGCCTTCGAAGCAGCTTTCCATTGGAACATCTAATATCATCCCGCCAACCCCCCAATCCTTTCGCCAGAACCCCGAGTTCCTCAAGATTCTGGATCAAGTAATACAGGAGTACGGCCACGAAGATGAAGATGTTGTGAGCCAAGCCCGCGCACTAGCCGGGCCCGGAGGATTCAATCTTGGATCTGGAGGAGTCTTCTTCCCCCAGCAGAAGCGCCGCCAAAAGAAAGGTGCTGCTGGAGGTGATGGCGCTGGAGGCGCAAGCTCCCAGGGTGGTGCTGGGGGTGCAGGCCGAGGTGGATGGGTGCACTTGAGCGATCGCAGAAATCCTCCCGACTACGGCAGAATAGCCTGGCCAGAGGATATCCTTGGCAGTGTCGAGGTGGATCAGACAGGCACTGTAATCGGCAAAGTCCAACCCAGTGGAACCTATCGTATCGTCACGAACGAGGGCATGTAAGTTCTGCCATCCCCAACGACCTCTGATCCGACAGTAGCTGATCCTCAGATAGACTTGGATTGAGCCCTTTTCTAAAGGGGAAACTAGTTGAGAGACTGAAACAAGAATATGCCAAGGCGAAATAAGCCAGCAGTTGTGCGGGTTACCAAGCAAAGCGACATATTGTTGCCATTTTGTATGAGTTATGGAGATGGCCTTATCCATCAGGAAAAGAGATAAAGCCCAGGGTTCAAACATCCTTGTGTATATACGGAGATCGTCTTGCTCTGCTGTAATACTATACCATTTTCGATACGCTGATTGTTCTTCTCGGTGTCCTGAAAAGCCTCTTCCAGCAAGCAACTTAAACAGCCTCCTTCTCCCCTCTTTTTATCTACCTTACGGCTGACATGATTGTGTGGCGACGATGTTTCCACAGCTCCTTGCTTTTGAGCTGTACAACGTAAAGGGCTATTTTTGTCCTTGGAAGCCTAAACCGAAGGTCCTACTCGGCCGAAGGCAATATCCTCAACTTTGCAGGAATTTCCAGTTACATCAGCAATAAGAGAGGCTAACAAGCTGGCCGCGAGGAAATATTTTCAAACTGGTACAAATTTATCCCGGTGATATCAATAAGACATACCTAGAAATGCGGCTCAGCTGGTTCCAGGTCGAGGTTCGATGCAATAGCAAGAGCGGCCACCAGCTTCTTCTGCTACAGCTCAGATACAGGACTATGAATCAAGCTGAGTTTGCAAAGCTGTTTCTTGATTTTGGTAAAAATAATAATTCTTAATTCATAGAAATAAATGTAAAAGATATCACTTACAACAAATTAGTTAATGCTCTAACTGGAACACGAGCTCGACGCGAAATATGCACTTATGCGAGTAAATGCATCTAGTGAAATTCAATTAAACGCGTCGACGCGGTTGGACATGCCTTCTACACCCCACCAAAAAGTCCATCATCCCATGGGAAGGATAGAGATACCCCGGATCGTACTCCTGCCTCCAACTCTACCAATACAGACTAATGCTGCAGCTCTCTTCATCTGACCTTGAAAATGCATAAGACGCCGGCACCGTTGTTTCGCAAAAAACAGCAACAGATCCCATCATCATCGATACCGTCTTCGTCGCCTGCATTCGGCACCCCAGCCCATCCATTGAAACCGTTTGGTGTCAACGCCCCCAATGCCGCCATTCTCCCGATTATCCTCCCTCCGCCTACCCTCCGACCTCTAGCCTTTCGTATATTCACAAAAAAGCATGCATTGACGCTCAACTCCACCGCGCTACAAGAGCTGGCCTCGTTCATCGGGCGACAATGCGGTTCGGGATGGCGCGAGGAGGGTCTGGCAGAAAAGGTGCTGGAGGAGATTGCAAGAAGCTGGAAGAACTCCAATGGAGGTGTCATTGTGGAGGGTTCCAGTAAAGCGCTACAGGATATCCTAAAAACACTGGAAGGGAACATGAGCGGGGGTAAAATCGTCGGTCAGGGAAGAGGCCTCTCAAGAGAGAACAGCCTGCTGGGATCCGCAAGCGTGGAGGGCGATATTGTCAATACGAGGTTGGGTCTGAGGCCGCAAGGTCCTGTGAGAGAGGATAGCAATACCAGCTTTGGCATGTCAAGCCTTGGAGTCAGCCAAGAAGCCGACGAGGACGACGAGGTTAATGATCCTCGGGGGTGGCTCAAGGTCATAGACGCATACGAACAGCCGCGATTACTCTTCAACGTGGGTAAGAAGCATTTTGAAAGGTATGGCAATTTCACCATGAATTCAACAGTTGCCATGCTCAATAAGCTAACCAAACAACAGAGACGTCGCGAAGCCATCGTTACTACCAGTTGCCTCTCACAAAACAACGGCGTTCCGCAATCGCTACCATGTCATTCACCAGCGCCTCCTCAGAAATGAAGCATTCCAATCTTCAACCGTATCAGAGTCCCGAAAGCGATCGGGTCATCAGTCATTATCGAGTCAGCAATCACTCAAAATCACGCCGATTACCAACCTTCTGGGTCGGCATGGCAGTGGACATATGCTTCTCGGTCAGCTAACAATTCTACCTACCGGCGACTTAGCAATAAGTGACATGACCGGCACAATCGCACTCGATCTCGAACAGGCGGTATCAATCCCCGAAGATTCTGCTTGGTTCTGCCCTGGGATGATCGTCCTGGTTGACGGTGTGTACGAAGAGGAAGATGAGTCTGTTGGCAAAGGCTTGAGCGGCAGCAGCGGTGTTGGAGGTACGCTAGGTGGCCGTTTTCAAGGTTTCTACATCGGCCAGCCTCCCTGCGAAAAACGAAAAGCCACGCTGGGAATCAGCGGCCCTGAGGGCGGGCGGGACCAAATCATAGGAGGAGGCTTCGGCTGGATCGATTTCCTCGGCGTTGGCAGCGAGCGTGCTGTCGGCGCGAAAATGCGCAGATTGCAAAAACGTCTCCTCAGGGGCCCCTTTGAGGAAGAAGACACCCTCAGCCGCGATCGTATCGTCATTATTGGAGAGCTGAACCTCGACCAACCCCGTGCACTCCAGGCGCTCAGGAGAATATTATCTCTTTATGCCGCGGAGCCAGAGGGCAGATCACCAATGACGTTTGTTCTCACTGGCAACTTCACACAGCACGCAGTCATGGCCCGGGGTGGCAGCGGTGGCAGTATCGAATACAAAGAATGCTTCGATGCTCTGGCCTCCACGCTGTCCGACTTCCCAACCCTGCTCCAAACGTGCACATTCGTCTTCGTGCCCGGAGACAATGATGGCTGGGTCTCGTCCTTCACAGCCGGCGGGTCCGTACCGCTGCCCAGAAAGGGGGTCCCTGACATGTTCACCTCGCGGATCCGACGTGCATTCGCAACCGCCAACGCAGAAACCAACCACGCCGTGCCCGGTTCCGCGCACTGGACCACAAACCCAAGTCGCCTGTCCCTTTTCGGGCCCAACAACGAGATAGTTCTCTTCAGAGACGACATCTCAACCCGTTTGAGAAGAACATGCGTCAACTTGAAATCTAAAGACGGCGCTCAGGAAAATGCGAATGAGGGTGATCCCGATGCCCCCGCACCATCTCAGTCCGAGTCCATGGACATAGACCAAGAGACCCAAGATCAAACACAAGACAACGGAACCAGCGCCCCATCATCTACGTCCCACGATACCCGCGCCGCCCAAAAGCTGGTCAAGTCCATCCTCGATCAGGGATACCTTGCTCCATTCCGCCAGCCCCTCCGCCCTGTCCATTGGGACTATGCCGGAGCATTACACCTGTATCCGCTCCCAACGGCCATGGTTCTCGTAGACACTACAGCCCCGCCCTTCTGCATCACATATGAAGGGTGCCATGTCATGAACCCAAGCAGTATCCTCGTCCCGGGACAAAAGGGCGTAGGCAGATGGGTGGAGTACACAATCGGTGGGCAGGGCAAGCTCCGGGAAGTGATCATCTAGTTGTTCTTCCAACGGCCATTTCTTGATATTTGGTATGCCAGGTCAGCGATATACATATAGAACTAGTTTATAATGACGATCCATGAAATGAGAACACATCACTTCCTTAATATATATCCGATTGTAGTCAGTCGGGGTTCATTCTCTATCTCACAACGAAGACCGTGATCCTAGCTCGCCGATGACCCGTAGGATAACAAAACAGAATATGGCTAACAAATAGTAAACTGCAGATAACGACCGGAAAACCCCGCCACAGAAGCTCCGAAACAAGCGAATCCCAAACTTGTTGCTCGCCAAGATAATAATTCACAGAACCCAGGTTATGTTGCTTTTCTACTCGAGCAAGAGTGATTCTTCGTGGAGGACACCAAACAACGCTTCAATCTCCTCGCGGACCTTTTTGAGCTCCTCGGCCACCTGTGCCGTCACGAGCGTGTATGCATAGAGGAGAGCGTAGTCGCTCTCGTCCGCGATGGCAGCGTGGCCATTGTTGATGAGCCGGTCGGCCATGTGGTCCTTGCGGAACTGGTATATCTTGCCAAGGAGGCGGTCCTTGTTACGGTCGACGGTAGGGATGGCATCCGTGAGGGGGTACTCGAGCATGATGCAGGAAGCGAGCACCTGAAATACGTGGCAGATTCGCTGGCATAGTTGTTCGCGTTCCTCGGCTGTGAAGTCGAGAAGGGCGCATTCTCCTTCGGATAGCTGCGCACGCTTCTGGCCGATGAGTCGCATGGCATAGAAACCATCCAGGATGTGTTTGGTTGAGCGCATGATCCTGCCGTAAGATGCAGTCGGGAAGGGGCCTCGAAGCTCGAACTCGGCCTGAGCAGAAGTTCTGAGGCTTTCAAGCTTGTAGGCTAGATTTCATCATGTGAGCTCACATATACTTTTGTAGTAAATTGACAGACAAATCAGCCACTTACCATAACGTTGAAGTGCGGCCTGCTCGCCCTCTCGCATATAGTCGGGCAGACTTCTCGAGTCCTTTAGAACAGCCAGCGGGCCACGTTTCCAAATAAGACCCATCTGAAGGTAGAGAACCGCGAGACCTTCGCGGAATTTGCGACGAGCAGAGATAGGCCACACCAATCGACAGAATATCATTCCCCAAAGAATTCCAATCGTCACGGCGACAACACGATGGAAAGCAATTTCAAAGATCATGGGGCTTGTTCCTCCTTCATCGTCGTCGTCGTCGTCTACATCCTGAGAGATGCTGTAGGCATAAAGCGTGATCACATTGTATGCCAACAGACAAATCCTACCCATGGAAGCGTTGTTGAGAACCACGATCAGATACGAGTTCCAGAGCGCAACAAGCCAGCCCAGGAAGGCTAACAAAAAGGGGTTCTCTTGGCCGATGATCCAGGCTACCACTGCGCAGGCAGCGCCAATCAGGGTTCCGATAAATCTAGACGTACTGGTGGTGTTAGAGGCACCTGTTGTCATAGCGACAACAATCATGTAGGATAAGAGCCCCCATTCACCTCTCCATGTCTCGTAGATAGGGCGTGTACTAGGAATGAAAGCAAACTGGGCGTATAGGATAGCACCAATGCAAACCTTGACACCAAAGATAATGTCCTCTCGTGTCAAAAAGCGCATTAATTTGAGTACCTTTTGTGAGAATGCCCTCTTAATCCTGTTAGCATGAGGTGCTGCATCCCAATTAAAGGTATCTCGGCGCGAAATCATCTGCTTGGGTATTCCTTTTGGCAGGGCACTTTGCTTGAGACGATTGACTTTCTGGCTGGGAAGAAGTTCCTCTTGCTCGGGATCCGTAAATCGGAGACCTTCTCTCTTCCTTCCGAAGCTCCAGTGTTTCCAAAGCTTAAGCCAATTCCAGCTCAGATTCGAAGATTCCTGCACAAACTGGAGGTCTTCGAGGACAAGAAGGTAGGCGTCCATCTCCTCTGCCACGGCTCGCAAACTGAAAGAGAAGTGCCCGCATGCAGCAGCCACTTCTTCGAAATCTGCTTGTATCTCCTCGGATCGCGAACGCCCTAGCTCCACACTTGTATAGAGGTCCTGAAGGGCCTTTCCCCTTGCTTCATTGTACAGGGCAAGAGCGTCTTGCAGACTCCGTCGTAGCTGAGTGTTCACCTTCACGTGTCTAGAAGGGTCGTCGCCGAAGGGTGATTCCCTCAGAGCTTCAGATAGAGTATAAGATAAAGATTTCATCGAAGGACCAAGGAGCTCGATGAAATGGGCGAAAATATCAGAGGGGTAGCGGAACATGGGTGTTTGATCCAGTGAAGGGTCCGATTTAGGTCGGGGGAGGTTCTTTTGAGACTTTTGGCCTTCATCTGATTCATTGATGGTAGAAAGGTCTCCTATCGGGGCCACGAACAACTCAGACAAGGTACGAGGTATCTTTGGCGACGTCTGAGGGCTAAGAACGAGGGGCATGTTATCCAGAATTTGCTGGCCTCCTGTGGGTGTCTCTTTTAGGAGGGTGAATTGGGTGTCGAGCGCACTTCGGAGACCTGCGATGGCTTGTGACAGCCTCTCCACCGACTTCACAAGGGCTTTATCAAGTTGATATAGCTTCTCTCTCCCCACAACATAATACTCATTCTTGGCCTCCCGTGTCATCTTGGTGATTTGCGAGTAGGCACTGTTGTAGCTGTCTCTGATTTGAGCATACTCCTTGTTCTTCAGTTCCTCTTCGGATCCGTTAAGGAAACTCTCAGAGACAATCGATAACTTGTCGCTAAGGGCCAAGGATGCTTTGACAATGGCGGTTCGTAAAACTCGTCGAGCCGAGACTGGCCAGACGAGAAAATTGATGGCAGACGTAAACGAGATGCCCAAGACAAGCATCTTGAGAACCTGCACAATCTTAACAGCCGAGAAATAACCATCCTGGATGGACTCCTCCTTGGTGACGACCGAAATGATGGCAATTGATGTCAGCGTAGATCCGACATTGACCAGGGGCTGGTTCATCTTTTGTTTCACCCAACCGACAAACCCAAGACCACCGCCGATACAGACAACCAAGACGAGGAAGTGCGCCGCATCGACAATGTCGAGCTTCCGCCCAAAGATAACAATGAGCATCGATAGCAGGCAAACCAACACGGCATATATCACAGCGATGATGGCGATCGCAATGGCTTCCAGCATTGATCCAGCAGAGCGAGCAGGGTTGAAATAGACAGTCAAAGTCGCAACGACGTGTTTCCCATCGCGGTGTCCAAGGAAGTCGGAAAGAGGCGGCCAGAATGTTCCCATGCTACCTAGCAGGTAAGCAAAGGTGCATTTCAGCACACCATGTCCTTGTTCCGAATTGACCCATTGCCACACTGCCTCCGCCTTCTCCTTTGTCTCCTGCTTCAATATCTCGAGATACCCTTGCTTGATATGGGGTGGTGGCTCGTTGTCGGCTTCGTCAGACGAGTTATCCCCGCTGCTGGCGGCGGCTATGTCGACTGAGGTCCGCAAGTCAAATTGTTGTCGTGATCGCTCGCCCGTCAATGGAACAATGAAGGTTCCATTGCGCATGTTCTATTTCCTGGTAAGTACAACTAGCAGCGTCGGCCAAGACAGGTGCAGGCCTACAGATGGGCGTCGAAGGCGCCAGTGCTCCGAAAGGGAGCTTCCATTTGCGTTGTTGGCGCTGGAGCTCATCTTGCGCTCCTGGTGCCAATCAGAAAGCCATGGTCTTGGTCCCTCTCTCTGTGATGATAGTGGTTGCGGCGTTTTCGGTAGCGTAGTGTCGGCAAGAAGAAAATGCCCTGCTCTGTGTGGAAGTTGTCCAATGTTGTGAAAACACACATTGATGGCGAAACAGACATCGCAGTCAGATATTAAAATGATACGCTAGACTCCACCCAAGATCCAGTGTTCGATACCGCCTAATTTTAGTGGTTGCAAGCAGCTATGACATCGGTCCTCAGCCACCCGAATCTGCACAGGACTGTGCCATCCGCCCATTCAAACCACTCGATGCCTTCAGGTTGTTCTGTTTCAAACTGCTGAGATTCTGGGTTCGACTTGACTTATTGAACAGTGATCCCAATACCAACATGAAATGACCATTACCAGTATATTCCACACAGGTGGAACCTTGAGGCCTCGCTTGGCAACGCGCAGGGAGGCCCTGGTGCCCGATACCCAGGGCAGGCTCCAGTGGATGCTCCTGTGGATACTCGCTGATTGGTGTGCCACTCACACGGCTCAGTATTGGCGGACCTCCAGGGCTACTCCAAGGTTGCTTCACATGCAGTCCACCTCTCCAGCCAATCTACGTGGTAATGCTACCTGACTATCGATGGCCTTGACTCCGTCCTGTATGTACATAACTGCTACCCTACCGCCTGTCAAAACCGCATCCCACCCTTCCTGGCGATCCCTTTGGAGGCTACCTACCTATTTAGTCCCCTCTCGTCCAATACAATACAGCTATATTGGCCCTTGATGAAACGATTCTTCTCCTCGACCATGGTATCTACTGCTAAGCGATTTGCGCCTCTACGGGAGAGCCTCCGGGCCTCGTCCTCGACTGAGGTACCGACACTCCGCGGAATTGTATTTGACATGGATGGCACACTCTGGTAAGTACAGGTTATTTCATCGATTGGAATCTTGTTCGTTATAATCTTCCTGGGTCCGATTCGTCGACCCCTCCATTCGGTTCAAGGTGCCCTACCCTATATCCAGAAGGGACCCTTGACTCATACCATCTTTCATTATACTTCATATATCATGAGCTTTCAAAAGTCACTACATATCGTAACTTTATTCATGATTTTCGCAAGCGAGAGCTTCAGCATATAAAATGAATGTTCACCTCATCATGAATCCTTGCTAACCGTAATTATAAAGTGAGCCGCAAACATACATGTTCAAGGATATGAGAGACGCCCTAGGCATCACAAAGGCAGTAGACATCCTCGAGCACGTCGAGTCGCTCCACCCGGAGAAGCAGACCGTCGCCCTCGAGGCCATCCGCAACATCGAGCGCAAGGCAATGGAATCCCAGACCCCACAGCCCGGCCTCAACACGCTCATGTCCTACCTCGACTCCCGCGGCATCCCCAAGGCCATCTGCACCCGCAACTTCGACGTCCCCGTCCAGAACCTCCTCACCAAGTTCCTGCAGGGCTCGCAGTTCAGTCCCATTGTGACACGAGATTTCAAGCCCCCGAAGCCGGACCCTGCTGGAATCCTGCACATCGCCAAGGATTGGCGTCTCGTGGACGACAACGGCGACGTTGATGCTACCGGGCTGATCATGGTTGGGGATTCTATTGATGATATGACGGCGGGCAGGAGGGCTGGGGCGGCGACTGTTCTGTTGGTTAACGATGTGAACCAGGTGCTGGTGAGCCATGAGCACACGGACCTTGTAATAACTTCACTGGACGAACTGATAGATATATTGGAGGAGGGTTTCCAAGGTCGTCAGATCCAGGTAGTATAAGTGCTGAGAATTGACAAAAATGCCACACCCAACGTATATTGCTTATCTTGCATTGCCTTACTTTTCCACTAACCAATTATTATGCAGATTGAGGATATATGCAGACCTTGCTCGCTGTATTTGCCCTGACCATTTCTACCCTTCCTATGCCCCTTCCGATGCCAAGCATAATTGCTCTTTTCCTTGCTAATTCAATATACAGCATTAAGCCAAGACTCTAGATTAAAGCTCGCCTGTATCGCGAGTTTCCCATAACATGGCCCAACCAAGTCCATCTCGAAAAGAGTGCAAAGCTTGTGAGATGATTCTCAACACCAAGTCAGGATCTTTACGAGCGAAATCAAAATGGCGGCTAGTTGGTACACGGGGCTGGCTACCATGACGCTGAGAGATAATGGTATAATCATGTAAATGCGACACTATGGAATAATCTTTTCGCGGGACAGCCGCGTTCAAGAGCCATAGGGCAGGCCGTGCCTTCGGTTGTCTCTTCGCTGCTCCTCAGGCGTCGATTTTCGCGGGGGAGGCGGTGGTAGAGGTCCAGAGGGGGCTGGTCGGACAGGCAGGCTAAAAGTGTTCCCGTTTGATACACCAAGTCCAGCGCTGTCACCATATCCTCCAGGTGCTCTTGGGGTGAGACCAGGATGACCCGATGGTGTTCGGCCACCGGCAGTGCTTGAGCCGTTGTGTTCCCGAGGCGAGACAATGCCGCTTCCAGAGATGGGAATCTCTCCAGACGTAGGTGTGTGCAAAGCTCGTTCCTCTCCTGCGAATTGAGAAGGAGGAGAATCACTCGACCGAAGCAGGTCCTGTGTTGATGGTGAGAGCTGAGGAGCGAGATGAGACTTGCGGTTATCACGTTCCATCATACCCACTGCCCATTCCCTGAGATCAACCGGAGTCCTTTTACCTGCCTGGACAAAAGCATCACGGTCCTAAACACACTATTAGCTTCCCACACGCCCACGCTCAGGGAGGTGCAAACATACGAATAATTCTTGAGGAGTAGGCCGTCGCTCCGGTTCCTTGTAGAGACATTTCTGAATCATATCGTCCAAGACGCTGGGGAAAGCATCGCTCTTGGGGAGCTGGGGCGCTGGCTCGTGAACAATCTGTTGCAGCAAATCCAGAATGCCGGCCGGGGCGCCATCTCCATCCGAAAGCTGTTCGCTGGCGGCGAAAGGGAATTTACCGATGGCCAGCTCCATGATGGAGAGACCAAAACTCCAGACATCTGACTTGACGGTGTACTTCTCGCCCTGAATACGCTCCGGGGCCATGTATGTTGATGTACCAACGAACGTATCGGCGATTGAGTTGACGAGCTCGCCAGACACGCCAAAATCGCACAGCTTGATGGAGCCCTGCGAGTTGACTAGGATATTGGACGGCTTGATATCTCGATGCATGATGTGATGCTTTTCGTAAAGGTATGTGAGGCCCCCCAGTGTTGCCACGGCGATTTTCCCCAATACATCCACACGGACTGGGCCGAACACTCGAGATACTCGATCAAGAGCCCTGCATTTTGATACTTAGTATTTGTTCCATTTCGATCCGGTATGGTTGAGTATGTCTGCAGATAACCTACCCCACATCCATGTATTCCATACACATTATAACGTCGTTATTATGGTTCAAGAAAGCACCGTAGAAGTTAACAATGTACTCGGAATGACAACCATGCATAATCTGGAGTTCTCGAACGATACGCTTGCGTATTTCTCGTTTCGCTTCGACATGAATGACCTGGGAGCGCTACATCAGCGCTGATCTCAGTAACAAGCATCTCAGTCGACTCACCTTGCGAGCCATCACGGTACCGGTCTGGACATGCTTGACCTTGCTGACAGTACCACCATTTCCAGATCCCAGCTCCTTAACGATCTCAAGGTCCTCGGGGCGCAGATCCAACTTGTATTCGATGCCGATTTCCAGTTGCTCTTCCTGTTTGCTGTCGTCTCTTGTGATAAAACCGCCGGCGAATCTGCTAGTCTCGGCTGTTGGCGGGGGTTTCGGCGCAGCAGGGGTCAAGGCCAGGCCTTTGACGTTCTTGCGCTTCATAGAGCGCGGTGCAAAAGCGTCGCCCATGTTCTAATCTGGGTCGAGGGGTGGGACAGAGGCGAAGAGGACGGTCGCAGTCGGGTTGGGGAGATGGAGGAAGGAGGATAGTGGCTGGCGGCTACCACGATGATTGAGCAACAAATGGAGCCCAAGATAGAAGCACAAGCTGGCTTGACCCCACGTTCAGGCTATGGAAGCCCAACAGACAGAATGAGGTAAAATCACTTGGAAAGGGACCGGGACACGCTCCTTGGCCAGCAAAGGCTGGTTTTATAGGAAGAGGAGGCTGAGGAGGGAAAGGGATGATTATTTTGTCGGGTTACGGAAAGGAACCGTGGGGGTGAGGTGCAGGGCGCTACTAATATTGCGTACAGTGGACGGAGCATCCTGACCTGAGGCGCGTGGATGAGCCTAGGAGGGATGGAGGTAGGTGCGGTATTGCCTAGCGCAGCAGGTAATCGCAGTACCCCAAGCTATGTACTTCCTAAGCCAATGGATAGCACCAGTAATATCGCTGATCATAGGTATTGGACTTAAATAAGCCACCTCGACAAGGTAGGTGATGGGGAAGAAACACCCTGGCATTGGACTGAATATGCAAAGCTAGGCAATGATTATGGGCTGAGCAGCCTAGAATGCATGGGAGGTTGTAAGAAACGCACTCCCCTTGAAACATCGTCATGTCAGGCCTTGATGATATAGGTATACCATCGCAGGTACCTCCCCCAAGTGCGATAGCCGCCATTACAGGAGGTAGTCAAGCAGTATACGGAGCTAGTCCTAGGCAGTGATGATTAGGACACTAGGGACGGGAGTGAGGGTGGGCCTGGCTGCCGCACCCAGGAGATGCGATGCGACGTAGGTGTTTGCCAATTTTCAATGCTTTTGAATGCTGAGAGCTAACTCGCTGATCCCCTGGTTTAAAAAAAGCAGCACGGGACCCTTTGGCTTGCGCAATCAGCAAGTGCGACTGATAGCTGGGAAACCCGCATTGGGCAAAAGCAAGTGGCATGGGGGTCTGTACAATATTAATTCAATCATGGATTACTATGTAATAGCCAATTTGGGCTCTGGCAACTTGTTAATATTCTATAGGATATCACATTTTAATGATATCTGCAGATTGCTTGGCTTGCAATCTCCAGCGTATGGGCTTTCGTTTTCGTCGCTTCGAGGACCCAGCCAAATAGTGGCTACGGAAATGCGACAGTCGCGGTTTCAGAGGAACCCCTTCTGGTTTCCAATACCGGGCTGCGGATTGAGCAGGCCACGGAGCTTAGCGGTTTCATACTTGACTGCCCACTGTAATAGGCACAGTTATTATACATAAGCAAAGGAGGTGGTGATACTTCAGTTAAGCGATGGAGAAAGATGCCAAGTGAGGACTCCTCTGTAAGACCAGATAGCTGCTCACAGGGTGGGTTCTCTCTCTATACCGGGGTAGTGCAATAGCACTCGGTGACACCGGTGACACTTCATGGATTACCTCGTTGGAAGTTTCCCTTCATTTGGATCCCGCTGCTTGTTTTCTTTTCGTCCTTTTTTCTTTGTCTCGTAGGCATGTAGGCATGTTCGTGAGAAAAAGAGTTATCTCGATTAGTAGACCAGCTGTTGAAAGTCCCTCCACGATCATGCGAAATAGAATTATTCTCCAGCCTACTGTTAGATAAAAGGAAAGCAAAAAGAAATAAAAAAACCAACAGAAGAACAGCCACGTTACTGACAGAGCACAAATGAGAAAATGAAATATACTCCCACAGTAATTAAAAGATATCAAGTGAAGTTGCAATTAGAGTGACAGCTCTTAGAGGCTGTAGGGTATCTAAGATATCAGTGGGGAACCAAGAGCGTTGGCACAGCCACAGCGCTCGGAATATATATATTCCGAATAACCCCTGGAGCGCTACACACGCCACGATGCCATTACCGCAGAAACCTGGAGTCGCAGCCGGGGCTCAGCCAAGGTGTACTAAGCCAGCTCCTGCTCCAAAAATTCACGAGGCGCGTCTGCATGTTGAGCCGACAGCCTGCCAACAAGCTTTTTCAACAAGCTTTGTCCACGCATGTGGTCTCTCTTCTCACCACCATATTTCTTCCCTTTGATTTAATACTTCTTCTTTTCTAGTACTCTTTGGAAGCGGTTCATACCATTGTCGCAGCTCTACCAGTTCCAGTTTCTCACCCCAGTCCTTTAATTCAGCGAACCGAAACCGTCAAGATGAGTAACACGATGCGCGACTTGATCTCTGGCGAGGCAGAGCTGGATGACGAAGAGGATGACGAGTCATTTGACGAGGAGACTGGAGAACAGTCTCGCAAGAAGAGAGCGACTCAGTTTGATGACTCGAGTGAGGAAGAGGAAGACGATGATGATGAAGAGGAGGCAGCGAAGGTGCGCAACGAATCTTGGTATCATTGGACGCTACTAACCAAATATTCTTGCAGATCCGAGAAGGGTTTATCGACGATGACGAGGAAGAATTAGAAGAAGAAGAGTCCGATGGTGAACGCCCCGTAGTGAAGAGAAAACGGGAGCATCGTGATCGAGATGAGGAGGCGCGCCTGGACGAGGAAGATTTGGAACTTATCGGCGAGCAATTCCCGCGCGCCAAGGCACAGCCTCAGGTTTGTTACTTGGATTTTATATCTTACTGCATATCGCGCTAACTAATCTACGCAGTCCAAGTTCAAGCGCCTCAAGCGTGGCCATAGGGGCGAAGAGCGAGGGGAGAACGACCGCCCCGCCTTGGAAGAGATTTTCTCGGACGAAGATGAAGACGTTGCGGAGCCTCGTTACGGACGATCAAACTATCCTCGTGATGATCTCGACGACTTCATCGAAGAAGACTTCCCTGAAGATGAGGATATGCGACAACGAGACAGAGAAGATGCTGAAGTCGCACGCCCAAGAGAGCGTGGCGTCGGCGCTGTCGTAGATACGACTGGCCTGGATAAGGATGCTTTGGACGATATGGAGGCCATCTTCGGAAATGGCGAAGACTATGAATGGGCTCTGGTGATGGAGGACGACGAGGAACACCGCGAGCGAGAAGATCAGCCGATCGAACTAAAGGATGTTTTCGAGCCCTCCCAGCTGAAGGAGAAGCTCCTTACCGATGAGGACAACCAAATCCGATTTACTGACGAGCCTGAGCGTTTCCAGCTTGAGCGCAAGGCCTTTAAGAACCTACAGTTGACTGCTGAACAATTTAGAGAGGAGGCTAAGTGGATCACCAACCAGCTTTGGCCGAAGAAGGGACTGCCTCAAGATTTGCATGTGCCGTTTGGAAAGGCAGTTGGAAAGGTCCTCGAGTTCTTCATCGTGGATGAAGTCGAAGTCCCCTACGTGTTTCAACATCGCAAAGATTACCTTCTACACACAACGAAGACGCGTAACTCGAACTCGGATGAGGGAGATGGCTCAGAGTATTCCATCCACGCAGAGAAGTTGCTGAACCAGGACGATTTGTGGAGGATTTTGGAACTCGATATCAAATTTCGCTCGTTTGTGGAGAAACGAAATGCACTTGAGAGGACTTTTGACAACCTCAAGACCATGGATGTCGAGGATGCGGTAATCGAAGAGATGATACCCGAGGCCGCCACGATGGAAGACCTTCAGGATCTTCAGGATTATTTACACTTCCAGTATGCCCAGCAGCTTAAAGAACTAGCTGCTTTGTCTGGAAACACAGCCCAGACAAAGCGCCCTGGGTCGAAGTCTTCGCTACTTGACCGAGTTCGCAAGAGCAGGGCAATGCAATTCGTCAAGGCTTATGGCGTATCGGTTGACCAACTTGCCAAGAACGCACTTCGCCAGGGCAAGAAAGTCGCACCAGATGACGATGCTCAGTACCCAATGGATCTTGCCGATAGCTTGGTAGACGACACGTTCAACACTGGCGATCAAGTCATCAATGCTGCGCGACAGTTGTATGCCGAGGAACTTTTCGTCAGCCCGAGAATGCGCAAACATTTCAGAAACTCCTTCTACCTGGCGGCTGAGATTAGCTGCCGACGGACGGACAAAGGCCTTCGGAGGATTGATGAATCGCACCCTTACTACGAAATCAAGTACCTGCAAAATCAGGCCATTGCTGACATGGTCCACCAACCAGAGCTTTTCCTGAAGATGATGCGTGCCGAAGAAGAGGGTTTAGTTGAGATCAAGCTGGATATGGGGCGTTATGAATTCCGCCGCCAGCTGTACCAGGAATTCGAGTCGGAAAACTTCTCTGATCGTGCCGAACAGTGGCGGGATGAGCGCAAGAAGGTTCTTGACCTAGCGTACCCCAAATTGGAGAAAATCATCGCCAAAAGCGTGAAAGAGGTGATTCGAACTTTCTGCCAGGACGAGGTCCTGAAGATGTGCCGAGAGGAGTACGTGAAGCGTCTTGACCAGGCGCCATGGAAGCCCAAGGGTATGATTCTGGGAACAGCAGCAAGGGTCCTTGCAATCTCCAACGGAATGGGTGACCCTGGCCGCGACCCCATCTTCTGGGCATGGGTTGACGACGATGGGCGTGTTTTGGAACAGGGCAAGTTCGGCAATCTCGCTCGTGATGAACGTCAACGAGAGGAGTTTGTTGAGCTGTTGGACAGGCGTCGTGCAGACGTGATCGCAGTCAGTGGCTGGTCCACGCAGACTCACAAGCTCGTTCTTGATGTTGAAGCACTGGTTCGCGACAGGAACATCCTGGGCGGCGACTTTGATGACCCAGAAACAGATGAACGCACACGAGAGCCTTTGGAAGTCGTGGTCGTGAATGATGAGGTTGCCCGCTTGTACAAGGACAGCCCGCGGGCGCACGCCGAGCACCCATCTCTCAACCCGGTGACACGATACTGTGTGGCGCTGGCGCGGTATATGCAGGATCCAATGAAGCAGTATGCCGCCCTCGGAAAGGACGTGTCATCGCTATCCTTCCACCCATGCCAAAATCTGTTGCCCCAAGATAAGCTGAACAAGTATCTGGAATCTGCTATGGTTGATATGGTCAACCTGTGTGGTGTTAACATCAACGATG